CCAGAATCCAGCAGGAAATCTTTAGGAGTCCTAGACAAACCTCAAAGTGTGGCAGAGCAGGAAACATTTGAGTCATACTTCAGGGATCAGAGACAAGATAATTAACCTACCAGAGCCTCAGTTTATTTGTAAGAATGTGGAGCTTAATGATCTCTACATAGGGATATTGTGAAAATGAGATGAAGTATATAAAAACACCTTGTAAAGCACTACGCAGATATTAGCTAATAAATTGTTAGGTTTCTGTGTTCAGCCTAATTTAATGCTTTTTCCCATTAATAGTCTATGCCTCACTGTTTTGTCTTTATTAACTTATAATTGTGAAATAATTTGACTTGTTACAAAACTAGTACAATTCCCAACCTTCAGATTCCCAAAAATGTAACATATAATCACAGTCCAACTTCAAATATAAAAAAATTAAGGTTGATATATAATATAAAAGTTTGTTAAAAGTTTGCTAATTATCCCACTAATGTTCAATTTCTAGTCCAGGACTAGAAACTGAAGGTCACATACTGCACAGCTTTCATGTCATCATGGTTTCCTTTATCTGGGATAATTCCTCAGGTTTGGCCTTTCATGATCTTGATAATTTTGAAGATTATGTCAGTTATTGTAGTACCCTTTAGTTTGGGTTTTTCTGATGTTTTCTCATGGCTATTCCTGCCATCAGGGGGTGGTGCATAGTGTTCTAGTTAAGTGCACAAATTGTAGTTAGAATATCCTGGTTCAAAATCTGGCTCTAGCAGACTCTGTGACCTTAGTTTTTTCACAACTCAGTTTCCTCATTGCCAGGTGAGGAAATATTAGTATCTTAGTGTTGCTGGGATTATTAACTAGTGAATATACATACAGAGGTTAGTACAGTTAATGGCACATAGTACAAGAGCTGTAAAGTGTTAACTAGTATGAGAAATTGGGTATTTAGTGGCTTTACTGATACAAAGTATCATTGTCATTGGCAGTTACTGAAGAGACTAAAGCAGCAGCAGATGTCTGAACTATATGCATATTTTGCTCTTCACTGCCCAAAGAGCAGGATCTTGGTTGACCCATAGAGCAGCATTTCTTCAGCATAACAGATCAACACACTAGGTAGAGCTCCAGTTTCTTTCATTAGCTGTGTTGAATAAAAAAAAAAGTAGCAAAACTAAGCTCCTTTTTTTCTTGACAATTACTTCCAGAGCTCTGGCCTTTAGGCTTCATTACTATGCAGTAGCACTATGCATTCAGTGAATAACCATAGTGATAACCTCAGCCCCTAACCTTTACACGTGCTTCTTACTGAAGGGACCAAACCACTCAGATCCCCAAAACACCCACTGTACTGGCCAACCCTGTGAGACAGAGCAGGGAGGCAGAAAGGGAGTTGCCCACAGGCTGGATAGGAAGGAAGCTTGAATAGAGTGATTCCAAGAAGCTAGAAAGCAGGTAAGACAGATCTGTAAAAATGTGGAATAACTATTCATTAAAAATTAAAATAAAAAAGCCCTTAATTCAGAAACAATTCTTTCATCTCAGTAGCAAATGACATTTTATGAAGCAATATTGATCCTTTGCCTCATTTGGCCTATACCACCCTGGATAAAACACTATTTTACAGGTGAAAAGACATGGATGGCTTTAAGTGCAAAGTGAAACTTTAGCTCAGGTCATTTTTTATTGTCGTGCTGGGTGGGAAACATTGTGACATTTACAGAAGTTCTTACAATATATCAAATACATCATACTTGAACCCCCTCCCCCTATTCCTGGAATAGTTCCAACAGGTATCATTTTTCTAATTACATATACGCATACACAGTATTTGCACCATATTCTTCCTCCTTCACCCTTTCCCCACCCTGCCCCAGGCAGGACCTGTTCTCTGATTTTGTAGGAGAAAAAAAGAAAATGACATTTTTGTTTGCTTAAGATAGCTACACAGGGAGTTTCCTTGTGGAATTTCCATGTGTATGTGTATTACAGTCCGATTTGGTTCATCTCCTCTACGTTTCTTCTACCTTAGTCTGGTTCTTAAGATGGTTTCAACCAGTTTTTAAAATTCTATATTCATTCTTGTATAGAGAATACATCAACTATATTCACCTCAACTTTCTTCTTTTACACTCTCCCTCTTGTATGTGACCTCCCCTTAGCATGACCTGTTTTTCATATTTTAGCTCAGGTCTTCCTTTTGAACATAGAACTTTTTCCACTTAATAAAAGAAGAGAAGAAAATATGTACTGAACAGAGCTCAAGGATTGAAAGGTTACCAAAATACAAACTGAAGTGTGAAAATGCAATGCGACCAGATTCAGTGGAGCAACTGGTTTCTCAATAGTCAAGGACAACAGGGTTTTTGAAGAAAAGGGACTTCCACAAGGTCCTGGGTGAATGAGCAAAGGACAGGTAGGGAAGGTAAAGCTATTATAAAATCCCTTCATCTTTGTGTACTTAAGAATCAAATGGTTTCAATGGGTTGAAGATATATACCACACAGAACATGTATCACACTCCAATGTGTGGGCATTAATAAGCACACTTCTAAGCACACTGTAAATTTTCAACATGCATTTGTGGATCTGGCTGGACTTTTATTTTTTTGGCATTAAGGATCAAACTCAAGACCTTACAATGCTAAGTGTGTGCTCTACCATTGAGCCACACCCCAGCCCTCTGGCTGGACTTTGGTTTATGCAATAACAAGACATGGTCTTATTGAAAATTCCCAGATATCTTAACCTCCCCAAATTAGGGACTGCCATAAAAAGTCTGTTGAACTCATGTAGAAATTGTCATCCTTTTGTGAACTGTACATGCAAAGAGGAAATTAGAAATTTATTTCCCATCACCAAACTGCTTCCATACTTAGATGTTGAATTTAGATCTTCTAAAAATGAGGCTAAAATATCAATCATATCATACCAAAGTTTATTGATTACATCGAACGAAAATTTGTGATGAAAAAGGCAAGTTGCATTCATAAAAGATGGCATTCACATTCATTTTAGAAAGCAACAATGCAAATGTAAAAAATTGCTTAAGTGAAAAATGTACTATTGCAGTTCCATTATGCAAGCTGAAAAATGATTTTGTCAACATTTGCATAAAATCTGCACATTTATATACTGCATGTTATTAAAAAATTCCATCACTGAATTACGAATTTTGCAAATTTGAGCTTACATTTATATCATTGCTGGTGTATATGTGGTAGATATGGAATGAGTATTTTTAATAGGTAACATCCTCAAACGATAGACGACAGTTGTGAAAATTACAAGGACATTTTTATAACTCAGAATTATTTCAATTATGGGTGTATGGTCCTATGATTACATTCCACCTCTTTCTCTGTCACAAGGGTAATTGTAGTGCTAGGAATACTGGATGGCTTGTTTCAAGTTATTTCATTTGCTGACCCCACACTAGCCACTTTTTAGCTCACTAATAAAAATATCATTCAAAAACAAAAGCCAGGTTCCTCTTAAGGATCTAGGCTATGATCTTACACATCACTGCCATTCTGAATTTGAGATGTAGTGTATAGTGTAATGTGTAGCTGCAACATGATTAAATTTCCCTTACTTCTCATCTAGCTTTCATCCTGGCTCTAATTGGATTTTACATGCAACCAGTTTTATATCCACTATCCTGAATATTCTGATTATGTCAACTCTTTAACAGTTCTGCATTAAACAAGCCTCTCTATTTTGGCTCTCTTATATTCACAGTCCCTATAGCTCTTATGTGAAACAATAGAAACAATATTACAACAACTTTATAAAAACAAGAACGGCAACAACAAAACATCAAAAGCTTTCCTGGGTTAGACTTTTTGGCTCTTTGGAATAGGCAAAGAAAATAGACTTTGCCTTCAGTAGATCACCTCAAATACAGGCTTCCAGAACACAGAATAATTAGGTAAGCTATAAATGACATCAAACAAAACATTCAAAATAACATTGATAGATGAGAAAAAAATTAAACAAAGTGATCAATAATGATGGAATGGTTCTGATAACTGAAATTATGTCCCTTCCAGAATTAAGAAAATTTATACTTAAACATTAACAAAATATATATGGAAGAATGAAATGTGCCATGTGGACTATATAAATAATATTAGAACAGACTGAATCATTATTACAGGCATGCCAGAAAGACAAAAATGAAAACTGTTATGAAAATATTTTCGAAAGGCCATTTTAATCTAGCAGTCAAATATGGTCCATCCTGGGATGGATCTCTCTCTTCACAAATTGGCCACGTGAAAAAAAAGTGCTGCATATATATGCACAAATGCAACCTTTCAAATGAAAACTGTTAATAGCTGAAAATAAGCTATTTTTCCTCTCTTCTCCAAGTAAAATTATAAAAGGCTGATGTTCAGAATGGCCTTTTTTTTGTATAAATATGGTGTTACCCACCTTACGTCAGGTCCCAGTAAAGCTGACAATGGAAAAATCTGTTTATTTCCTATTTTGAAAATCTGTTTATTCCCTATTTTGAGGGAATACACAGTTACTGAAATATCTTATGTTGTAAGTGTAGTCGTAGCCTTACACTTGCCGATAAGTGGTGTTTAATTCAGAAGAAAAAACCCAAATGAAACATATTTTTTTTCCTGTTCCCAAAATAATACCCAGAGTTAACACTTTCCACACAAGTGTTCAAGGTATTTTTTTGGCAGGGATAGTCTACCAAGACACAATTACCCTGTGGGTGAACTGAAGATGAACTATTTTGTCTGATGTATTTTCAAGTATTCCTTTTATGTGCTTGAAAAAATAAAATCATCATTCAGCAGGAACAAGAAATGTGATTCAAACAGCCTATGTCTTCTGCCAGGCAAAAAATAATACTGTATTAGCAATATCTATCCATTCTCATTGTATGACTTCTACTTTATACTACTGTATTTAAATCCATTCACAAAGTCAATGGGTTGAAAGAATACCCATTTGGTAGTTATATTATTTTATCTAAAGCCAGAATTCTAAGTATTCTTGCTTTTAACTTTCATATAATTCTCAACTTAAAGCTCTGGCCATAATGACTACATAAAATAACTGTAAATGCTTAGAAGAGTCATTTGGTATTTTAATGAACATTTATTTTGAACCCTAGACATAAGAGAGTGGTTTAGTTTTTGTTGCATATTGATTATCCTGAGATGATAATTTTTTGTAGTTGTTTCTTCATGCTTTCTTTTTTAGCTGTAACCACTGTCAATATGCTTGTAGGACAATAACATAGGCAGTTCAAGATTCGGATTCTGAAAAATTTAAAATACAGAGTTAAAAGGTTTATTTTAATAATAATATAAGACCATCTGTCTAACATTTTCAAAAATAAACCAGGTAGTAAATTTTGTTATGAGAGTAAAGCAACTGTCTTAATAAAATGCCAAGTTTTATTCACATGCAGGGTGATCAAAAACAAGAATGACACCATGACCAGCTTTTATTCCTTTCTTCATTTGTCAGCTGAATTGATTCAGGTTTGCTCTTTGCTTTTGGATTGCTCCAGGGTTCTCCTAACACTTTTTACCACTGGGATTATATACCACAACAGAGGTTTGGCTGGCTATGATCCCTTCCTTTAGGCTGGAAGTTACTTGAAAATACAGACATTTTATTTATCTTTCTATCTCTAACATCTAGTACAGCATCTGGCACATAGCAGATGCGCAGGAAATGTTGAATGAATGAATGGGCTACATTTTTTTGGATGTGCAGATTTTGACAGAGGAAGTCTGAAGATATATTCAGTTTGGAAGATTTCTATGGAAATATTCTTCTTTCACTGAAAGAAGCAGGCCCCCTACAACATCGTTGATTCTTCTGTTTTTCTTATTCATCATCTGCTGAGAATGGGAACCACAGTAATTTCCTTAACAAATCTACAGATTCCTCTCTGTCCTCTAAATATCATCAAATGCTGTGATCAGGATCAGACATTTTTGATATACAAAATGATCATTTAGTATGACTCAAGTATGTTGTGAAGCTGAAGTTGTATGTCAAGGGAGGGAGCCTTACTTTGATTCTCCACTCTAAAACTCAAGCTTTTTGACCCTGAGTAGTAGAAGGCCTTAAAAAGAGTGCTATTTTCTTCCCATTTTGGGACACCTGTCTTGCCATGGTTGGACTACAAGTCCATTAGAGTACTTCCACCTCTATTTATGTTCCAAATTCTCTAAAATCACTATTAAGTCTTTGGGTGGCTCTGCTGGGTCATGGTTACTTTAGCTAAAATAATGTCACCATTCACATTGGGAATATATGAAAGAAGTCAGGTAGTTCCCTTACCAACCAAGGAACAAACTCAGCGGCTAAACTGCCGCTGTCTATCTTAGACATTGTAGGAGTTAAGGCCCTGGAGAGGCCAAAAGCAGCAGCATTATCTGCTATCTAGCCCAGTCCCCCAACCACAGTACAGGCTAAAGAAAGCAATCCAGGGGGATACAAAAATAACTGGAAATAGTATCACTAAAATGCATCTTAAAAGGTTAAGACAAAGCACTCTGGGACAAAAGAGTCCAAAGATTTTGAACAGTACCTAAAAGCAATTCATTACTGAGGTGAAACATATGCAGCCAAGTCATTCAAAAATGTGTAAAAAATGCTGACTGTGGCAAAAGCAGTCTGCTTCCAAAATAACATTGCAGATGTATATTATGATATAGGAGGTAAAAGAATCAATGGATTCAATCCATTAGTTTAATTTTCATTCTTTGCCAGAGGGAGGGACAGTTAACAGATGATGAAAATATACCTATGAGGGAGCTTCACAATTGTTAGCTTCAAAGTGAACTGACTCACAGTTTTGTTCACAATGATCATTTCATGATGTGTGCATGAAAGATGGCCCTGCTGTAAGCTGTATAGAGTTTACAAGTTGACAAGCTTATAAGCTTGAATTATTCTAAGTTTCCACGGATGGATAAAAGACCTCTAAAGATGTGGGGTGCCAGAGGCCCCTGTAGTGGGATATAGAAAAAGCACATTAAAGGAATCATTTTGAGTTAAGGGATCCTCCTATGGTATATCAATTCCTACCAAGTTTTTTTTTGTAAATGAAAAAATGTTATAAAATAAATTTATTCATTTTTAGAAACATGAATTATATAAAGTATTTTATATCATTAGGCATGCATCCCCCTGAATGGCTAGGAAAGATTTTTACCTCTGAGAGTTGAAACATTTAGTTTGAATAAAACTTGACATTTAAAAAGTTATGATTAGAGTAGATTGGTTTATTAACATGTATTTGGGGATCAGACAGTTACAAGGACACTAAGTGTATACCTGCAAACACACAGACACGTCACATGAAGGTACAAACACATTTGATTATTTTCACATAGTTCCCAGAAGAACATGCAATGCTAAACTGATTTGATATTATACAGATGCAATTTTGGAATATTTATTTCAAACTTTCCAAATGATCTTTATAAATCAAAATTATACTTCCTGATCAGTATCAAGTAGTTTTACATGATGGCACTGACATGACAATTTGCCCTTTACAAATTATATATACTACATTACAATTCAGCTTGAAAAATATCTAAAATTTCATTAGAGGTGCAAATTTAAAAAATATATTTCCCCATATTCCAAGTAATGCATCTTTATATTTTGGCAAAGAATAGTATAAAGTTCACCACACCAACAGCAGAGAAAATTTAGAGAGTGATATTTTCATTTTTCTTTATAATGCTGTTAATCTGTTTCTTTAAAGCCAGCCCACTTGTTTAACACTAGGTACCTGTTACAATATATTAGATTCGTCTGAGAATGTTCGTAAAAGAAGAGGTCTGACTGAAGGTCTGGTGGATAATGAGTCAGATGCCCTTCTACAGCTCAGATTTCTCTGTAATAGTGAGGCAAAGATACTTAAAGCATTTGAAGATTGGTTAACCTACCTGGTGATCAAAATGTAGAAGCAAAAATCATTTCCTACAGACTACTCTTCTAGCCAAAAGTACAAATGATTATTATACTATATTACAGCAAATGTATAACATTCAAATGAGTACACTTAAAGGCCTAAGAAAGTCTCTAACTCAAATTGTTTTTTGTAGTAGAAGTAAATAAACATTAATAGTATGTGGCAAACTTGAGTTTTTGAAATGGCACTGGTAGGTTATATGGTAAGATGAGTCAGTATGGTTTGATTAGTAAACCTTACCATCCTTTTGGTGAACACCTCTGACAGTTGTGCAGGTGCTATGAGTGTGTCAAAGAGAAATTTGCATAAAATATTCTTGTCTTGGTGAACAGACTACCTATAACACACCATACCTACTATTGTATAACCTGGATCAATGAGACTACAAACTGATAGTTCAAGCTTTTGAAGATTATTTCCTCTCCAGTGTGACAATTTGGAAGGTGAACAAATGAATAAAAGAAAATGACAAAATATTCTAAGTATCAATAGAAGATATAAAATGAATCATGAGAAGTAATTTTTCTAAAGAATCAGAAAATGGTATCAGGCAATGAGAATGCAAGCAAGTTGGTACATTAAGAAAGGAAGTCACCTTATTCACTCCAAGAGAAACTGTGATTGCTGGAAGTTTGAGAAAGCATGAAGATAGTAGATGTTCCTGAGGAAGGGAGGCGTTTCGTTACCTTGTTCACAATTGCACAAAAGGTGGAAAATTGCAGTAGAAAAAAGAGAAATGCAGAAATCAAAAAGAAAAAAGTAAATATTCTCTTAAATGTAAGACATTTAAAAAGAAACCTTGAGAATTGGAAGTAGAAATGACATGTTAGTTTTGAAGACGTTACTTTCTGAAGTAAAAGTAGAGTTAAGAGTTAGAATAGTTTATTATATGTGCCAGCTACTATTTCTCTGTATATTCATCTAAAATTATTTTGTTAATGGTAATGTATTTTAAGTAAAATAATTCTAAAATATGCTTCTCATTAAAATAAAGCTTATCTCTAATAATTCACTCCCCCTTGTTTGTCTAAAAGCCATTGGTCACAGAGCTATTTCCAGGGCCCATTACCAATCACTAATCTCTCTTGAAGTAACTACCTCCCCTATGCAATTATGAAGGGATTGACTGCCTTTAGGCAGCTGGCTGTAGGTTAAAAATCTAATCACTACTACTATAATGGGAAAACATTTGGTGATGCCATGGTTCCATTTGCCTCTGAACTAATGTTTAACTTCCTCTCTTCTAACACAATTTGATCAGCTTCCCCATTTTTCCTACTGAGATCTCTTTAGAAAGGCTGAATTTTTCCTAAGGTATGATTTTTTCAAAACCTCAAAAAAATTCAAACTTGATTCACTTTACATAGAAAACTTAAAGAGGTTTTTCCCCTTCTTATTTATAATCTACAGACGTGGCTTTGGCACTGGCCCAAACAAAACAGAAGATAGCTGGTCAGCTATAAATAGGGATGAGTAGAACCACTCTGCTAATCAAGATGACCAATATTACCTTCTTAGGGACAAAGGTAAACAAGCTTAGGAAAAGAAAGTAATATAGGTATCCAGAAGAGTCTAATAAACTTTTAAATGCAAATACTTCCATTTATTCATGTTTTGACAGAACTACACATTTTCTTGTTCGCATTTTACTTTAAATGAATAAAGTTGGTAACATGTTGGTAGCATGCAAATTACCAACTGACAAAGCTAGAGAAATTAATATTTTAGTTTCTGAGAAAATATTTTAATTGCTTCTACTATTCTGTGGGCAAAAATCTTGCAACAAGATTAATATGATACCAAGTCCCCCACCCCTGTGTTTAATATACAAGCCCATCTAATTAAGACTGCAACTGTAAGCACATTTTGGTGTGCTCAAATACTTGTATTCAACCAGAGATAAAATTCTATAGAGCATAAATTTTAGGGGTTAATAGATTATGTGTTAGAACTATTTGATAAAGGAAATACGAAAGTACAGAAAGCAGAAAGCATAAGAAGAGTGTCTAAAGCAATAAAAAAAAACTGATATAGCTAGCAATTGGTAGGAGGGCAAAGAGGACAGGAGAAAATGAGCTAAAACAGTATGAAATTTCCACATTCCTTGGCAGTCATCTAGAGAGCTTTGACATCAGCTCAATTAGCAGTATGTCAAAGAGGCTAATGGATAAAGGCCCATCTCAACAGCCACGATGTTAGGATTAACTTTATTTTTGTCTAATCCACTTTGCAGGGCTGCTGCCCTCTGAACCCATGGTTGTATATGACACTATTAAGCATCACAGTAATAGTTATCATTATTACCATTATTATTAAAATGGTAAATTATATTCGCTAAAATTTCCAAAGTGCTTTTTCTGGGAATTTTACTCAGACAGCTGACATTCTTCCTATCCCTGCCTTCTACTCTTAAAGAGCTCCCTACACAATGGAATATTTCTATTTATGCAGATATCCCATAGCAGGCATGGCTATGTTGCTGGGTCCATTCCTACTAGATTATTTTTCCCATGTCCAGCAGGCAGTCAAGCCTCTCTTTTCATTGTGATGGTTTATATGAGAAAACATTACATGAAAACAGGTGGAAAATTCCCCTACTGGAAATGTGAAGTAGCATTTACTACTTGGCTAGATCGTCTAGGTGTATTTCAATGATTTACAGGCAGATGACTGTGCTTAGAGGTGACATAGCTTTTTGAAATGTCAAAATCCTAAACTTTAAACTTCCCTTGAAGTGCTGTCTTGCTGTTCTTTAAAATGGGGCTTTATCACAAAAATTAACCTCATTGCTGAAAATGTGGCTGAGGGATGTGTGGTTAAATTACAACCCTTGAATTAAATGACTGAAAGACAGTATCGTTAAAGACAGAATTCTTTATAATGCAAGCATCATGATACAGCTTGGCAGTGCTACAGGCTGCTATATTAAGTCTTTTTATTGGAGGCTTCAGGAGGTAGTAACTTGGACCTTGAAGTAGCTCAGCTGTGTTATAACAGAAGGGTTCCATATGAATGCTCTTTATAACTTAACTATAGTCAGAGTGCCTTGTGAGGGCCAGTAGTAACTGACTTACTAGCAGTTACTACAGTAACTAACTGATAATGGGTCCTCAGTCAATTTATACTGAATTGAACAGAATGCAATGTGAAGCTACTTATATAATTATTAGCTATAAATGGCTTAGTTTCTTTCTCGAATGCCATAGAGACATTTTCACTACCCACTGTTAAGTCCCCTTTGCAAAGTAGCTGCCAGAATCACATGAGGATAACAATGTTAGCCTACCTGCCATTGGCATTTCTGGCTTTGTGTACAAAATGTCCAGGATCCTTATTGGTTGAAGATAGGCAGACACACTTTACCCCATTACAATCTGTCAGGCTATCAGGCAGACCCAGTGTAAAAGAATCTTTTGTCTCTCTTTAAAATGATGCCAATGCCTTAGTAAGGAATACTGGACAAAGTAGGAACAATGTCAGACTGTTGGTCACTAAGCATAAAGGCTAATATATTTTGGGAAAAGTAATTCACTTAGTCTTCTTTACTTACAAGTTGTTCTCTGCTTCTTTGATAGGGCCAAATAAGACATTATGGATATATGTGACCTATTAGAATAGTCATGGCTACCATGTTTTAGTTGGCCTTTATGCATTTATATACACTACACTGCTCTTGCATTTTCTCACACAAAAAAGGCAGCATTGCTAAATGCCCAAAACTGTTTTGCCTCATTTGCAACTCTCAAAATCCCATGGAGTCTGAAAAAACAATCAGTCTTTCAGACATTGGATATAAAGAGAGATGTTCATCAGTAGGCGGCTCAACAAATGTTGATTGGTTCAGTGAAGGTAGGAATAAATGAATGAATGATTGAATGAATGAAAATGGTTATGGAAATTTTCTTGGCTGTTCTAGCACATTAGCATGCCAAGCTACAGCACAAAAACTAGTATTCCTCCTCCTATCATGGATAGAACCCATGACAAACAAAATTCATGCTGAACCCCTGGCAATATTTTATGTTGCTAAGTGAAAAGGGTTGCAGTCCCAGAACTCCATACTTTCAACTGAAGTTTGGAATCTGCTGCTTATATGGAAAAAAATGATTTAAGTCTATATATCTGCAACTTCCTAGTAGCATTCCACCATTTAATGGCCTATATAAATGTCACTAGATAGTCCAGTCACTATCTAATTTTTCATAAAGTTAAGGTGATATGTTTGAAGATTTTGATTTCTGCAATTTTTATATCATCTTTAGAGCATGAAGCTGGATGTGAGCTATTATCCCAAATAAGAGAAACATTTATGAGCACCCCAATGTATGCTGCCAAGTAAGGAGAAGGAAAGAGCAACTCAAAGATCCTCCTTTATAAATTCTGTTATAAAAAGGTATCGAACTATTTCTTACTGCAACATTTTTTATTTGGCTTCATGCAAAATGCTACTTAAGCCGGTCTTGGAGGAACATGTTGTATCAACAGATATTAAGGTCAAACCAGATAATTAAATACCACTTTTCCATCCCAAAACTAAAAACCAGGCTGGATGGAGCTAGTCAGAGGTAAACTGGAAGGATTAAAGAGTAAACTAATACAGTCCTATTTATACTAACATTATTGTGTCTGCTTCTTACCCGTAAGAGATATAGAAGCAGGGAATTCAGGGCAATTCTGACCACCTACTTATATGCTGACTGGCCTTGCACAGCACAAATTAATGTAGCATATGCCATTGACAGTTTTGTTGCTTCTCAGTGGGGCTGACACTGACTTATAACATGAAGTTCTTCTTTCATACTTCTAATCACTGAAGGTTTTCCTACTGCAACAGCCACTTTTGTGGCTAAACTGGTTGGTAAATTTGATCAAAAACTTCAGGTAGGTTTAGACTAGTCCTTGAAAATACTGCCTTAGAGGCGCTACAAGATATAGTTGATAACAATGTGACAGAAACAGGGTTTTTTTTGTTTTAGCAAAATGAGCTAGTGCCGGCAAGAATATGACATCTAATTAGCCTGTTGGTCAAAATCTGCCAGAAGTATTATTTTCCAGGCTAATCTACACCTTTCACTTTAAAGGCTTTTAAAGAAATGTTGAAGAGTTATCAGAATAGTATGAGAGTGGCAAATTCTCATTCCCACAGGAAATTTACAACTTAATAAATAAAAATAAAAACACACTCATAAAACAATCTTTAATTTTTACAAGTGTGTTCAGAAGGGTAAGGATGTAGAAATATACTGCTGGACAGACAGGGCTAGAAGCAACACAGAGATTAAGCAGCACTATAATTAAAGGGAAGGGAAAGGTTTTAAAGAGGCAAATTGGGATTACGAACTTAAAAAATCTGCAAACGGCCCACAGGAAAATTTCTAAGGTTAAGGCTGAAATGTTGGTGTGGAATTTCCTGGTGTGAAAATTCTGCGGTAAATACAAAATAAAATCATTTTTTCCTTTTAAAATTCCATATGGAGCATATGAGATACTCCATATGGATTGCTAAAGGTCACACAGAGCACTATTAAGGAATCTACTTACCACCTGCATTGGATAACGAAGTTTTTACTATACTTTTTATGCAGAAGAAGAAATTAAGTGATGAACCTGTAAGGAGGGGTTTAACACGCTGTAACTAATGCAATTCTCTAAATAATGTTTTTAGTTCATGGCAGATACCAAAGCCCCTTCCAAAAATTAAGTTATAATATAAATTTAGTTCTTACCCTGGCACTTCTTCTTCTTACATTCTTTAATACTATCAGGAGAATCTCAGGGAAAAGGCTGATAAATATTAGAAGAATTATGGCCAACCATGTGGATACAGAAGACAGCATTTGAGCAAATACGAAATACATTCTCTGCTGTTTAAGAAAAGGCCTGGGGTGGAAAGAAAACACATAATGGAAAAACCTGTCAAGTGAGACAGAAGTTTAAATGAAACTATCTTTTGCATTTAAAAGAATTCTTCCTTATGCACATTGGTAAAAATAATTTTCTTTACAATGGCCCAAAAGTAGTAAACAAATTTCATTTACCAAATGTTTGCAAAGAAAAGGGATGAGAATCAAAGGAGAAAATAATAAATGTCACCTGACTCAAAAGCAATCAGGCAATCAACTATAAAGCTGTGAACTGGTGAACATTTATGTACATTAGAAAATGCCAGAACTTCAAAGATGTTCAAGAGAAATGATAGTTAATTTTCATCCTAACAAGCATTTTATTTCCTCAGCTATCTTATTAATATGAGGAGGATGGACTTGTGTTGTATATTCAGAAATTTAAGACATTTTTATAACCATTCCTATGTAAAAAGGATTACAGGGCTTATAATCTCTCATAAATGAAAAAATATATCATTTTTATCTGTAAATATATATTGAGTAACTGTATACCAAGTAGACTGATAGGCAGAAGAATATTGTTAATAGGACAGTAAGCCTTGGAATCCAGAAATCCAGGCGGATCCCTCATTCTGAAGTTGGATTTCATTCCAGCTCATCCACTCAATTGTTAATTTGCCCTTCCCCTGTATGAGCTATACCACAGAAAGCCTATCCATGCTACTAGATTGCTGTTCTAAGCTTAAGGGAGTAAAGTGGCTGCTTGAGGTCAGGATGTACACCAGACCATCCTAGAGTTAGGAACTCTAAGCAGGTAACTAGTTGGTCTCGTTTATTAGATCATAGCTTGTGAAGGTAAACTGGTTTCTCTTTAAAATTTTGTTTGTGCTCCCTTATATAATGCAATAAAATCAATCTTGTGGCTCTACACATATGAGGACTAGATTGTGAAATAAAAGTGAGCAGAAGAGTGAGATGGAGCAATTTCTGAGGCCTAAGCTTAAACAGGCTTTCTAGAAAAAGTCTACCATACACAGACTTCTGCAGAACTCTACCCTACTCTAATTTTGAAAAGCAACTTGAACAATTTTCTAGGCGGTTAACTGAGCCATACCAAAGGTCAAGCAGACAAAGTGATGGCTAGCCACAGGGTGTTCCTTTGCATTGTACCCACAATACTCTCTGATTAGTATCTCTAAATGTGTTTGTTTGTTTGTTTTTTTGCCTTGATGGCATCTGTGAGGCTTTGCCAGAAGACAGTAAAAAGAGAAAAACTATTATTCTTAGATTGGGTATAGTGTTCAGAAATCACCATTCTCACTAGCTAACCCAAAAGTGGGAAGTCTCAATGCCTCAGGGTAAAACATGTTCAGAGACATTAGCTATAATTAGCATTCAGCTAAAGTTTTGCATAGTTTCTTGTCACATTTTTTTGATTGCTTTATAAGTTTATATTCATGTAGTAGTTCAATTTGATCAGCTCTATTTAAGAACAGTACTTCAGCCAACACAATAAAAAATAGATTTGTTCCTGCTTTACTTATGGGGGATATGTTCCAAGATCTCCAGTTGATGCCAAAAGCCATGCATAGTACCAAATCCTGTATGTATACACAATGTATACACATGGGAGTCCTAAAGCTGAATGTCCACAGATACTGAGGGACAAATGAATACTTTAAAGACAGAATAGGGTCCAAATGAGTAATAATGTATGCACTGGCTAATGTATCAGGTAGAAATTTTTACAGAATGAATGAATATTTCTACTAGATATCACATGGGAAGTCTTGCTAGAAATTAGTCACTTCATAGAGAGAGATTTATATGCCTTCAAATTCAAAAATTTGGAGAGGGACTACCAAAAGAAGGTCTTATGAGTAAATGTGCACTCTATATATTTGTATTTGAAATTTTACCTGAAATTAGCAGCACTACAAGCTGTAACTCCTAGTCCTTTAATATAAAAGATCACCACCCTACATAATACTTCAAAAGTATAATGCATATTTACATATACAATGTACATATACATTTTGTTTACATATTGTTCACACATGTATAGCTTACCAGATAATGCCTCCCCAGAAGAATGAGAAAAATATATAAAAGGCTAAAGAACCCCAAATCACAAAGTGATTTATCCATGTCCAGAATCGAGTATCCAAAGCAAGCTGAAAAGATACAACAAAAGATTTCATGATGGACACAAACTGTACTCGGTAATACACTATGGTATCTGATAACCTGTATAAATATGATACCTATGGGAGGATCTAGCTTTGGCCATGGATCCAGAGGGGAGTGAAACTAGAGACCTCTAAACTCTACAGTACAGGCATGAAGACAGCTAGTAGGTATAGGGCTGCAGATGTCTCCGTACTGGGTGATGGGCAAAATCTGGGAAGCTGGAGCCCCAAGTCGTCATGTAGTATTGGCCAGTGAGATGGTGACAAAAGGAGAAGGCCTAAATGGTGGATGCAAGTATGCTGAAAAGCAGTTGGAGAGGGTAGGGGTAGCTACAAAGGGTAGGAAAAGTTATACAAAGACTTGTGAAAGCTCAAACATAACAGATGAGAATCATTAGCTTTTCACATCTTACATCATGCAGCATGGACACATGGGCCTGACTTTCCAATTCTAGAACCTGTATGTTTCCCATGAGATTAAAATGCTCAGTTTCTGTAAGGACTGATAAAGTTTTTAGATTGTGGCACCTGGAGTTTTCAAATATGACTAAAAACAAAGCATGGTCTGCTCTGCTTTCTTAAAACTTCTGGCTCACATGGGCTAATAGCCAGAGTATTTAATTCTTATAGAGGAGATAGTGCCTAAGTTTTGTTACTTGCTATGACAGATGGTCCTGAGCTCTGTTACAGTTTCCCATTCAAAAACAGAATGTTGATAATATTGTTATTGCATCCCATTCCTGAATTCCTACCCTCTGGATGACTAGGGAAAATGTCACAGTAACAGTCATCCAAAGAGGAGGGAGTAGATGCCTTATGAGGTACACATGAAAGGAACATCTAGAAGTCCTAGGGCCTTATGAAAGGAAAAAAGGAGAGGGGAGAGGTTTCTATGTCAAATCATGATTCTATGTAGCATAATAATAAATAAAAACAATTAGCATTTATTATAATGAACACATTCTAAGTGACAGACATCATTCTAGTGTTTTATATGTTTTCAATGACTCCTCACAAAGAACCCTAAGACAGGAGGGTGCTACTTTTTCCACTTTATAAAGAAGGAAATTGAAGTACAGATAAGTGAAGTTACTTGTCTAAGGATACACAGTTATTAAGTGGCTAAACAGAGATGAATTCTAACATTTCCTTTTAAAGCCCAACAATATTAATGAAGTAGTATATGAACAATGAAAATATATGTCAGCATTGGTATGAAAAATGAACCAGAAACAAAAATTTAGAGAGGTCCAGTGAGAATTATACTTCTGAATTCTGGCTTTGACCACTGCTTCTAACTATAAGAGTCCCAATTCATAAGCCTCAGGGGTAGCATGCAGTGAGGCTTCACAGTATTATTATACTGTTGCATGTCAATGCCAATGGTTTTGCCAAAATTAACCTTCTTCTATGTATAACCTATATAATTCATCTATAACATGGGTAGATTTCAGTGATTAATAGATTTTATGAAATTTCACTCCTACCAACCACTTCTGCATACCTACCTTGCTTATACCTATTTAACTGTCTTAAATATCCAAATTCTTTTTAGGCCAGGGCTTCTTAAAAGGATGAATTTTTTTTTAAAAAAAGATTCAAATACTTAACATGGAAATATACCCACATACACACTCAAAGTACCACATATCATAATGCCTTAAAAGTAGGAGTTAAGAAGAAACGTATTTCCTACATAAGTATGGTGTTTGAATTTTTAACAGCAAAACAAAATAGGATAGCCTATGTACTAAAAAAAACAGATAGCAAGTATTATATAAATGCCCAAATCCCCAGCATCATACACTTTTTAGTAAGCATTCAGACAAAGGTTTGAATGAAAAACAGCAACAAAATAAAGATCAGGAGAGAAAAGCGATATAAAATATATTTGAATAAATAAAAATCTAACCTTCAGTGTTACAGTGACTACTAAGACTGTAAAAACAATGGTTCCGAAAGTCCAATTTCCATACACCTGAAAGACATTTTACAATTACATGTAACTATGAATACATATAAAAGCATGCTTTAAAAAAAAGTCAAGTTTAATTATGCATATAACTGCTGAAGATTTTTTGCGTGAATTGTTTAGGAAAATAGCTCATCAATAAGATCAGGTCACAATGCTGGATTTTCCTGTGACTGTAAATTTCCATAGGTAATATACAACACCTGTTATTGGTAGAGTATGTTTCTATTACTCCATGCAGCACTGAACAGGGAACTCACTTATTTGATAAAGGCAGGGATAAAACAAAACTAAACAATTCTGCTAATAGCAATATTCATCACAACTAGTCATTTGGATGACTCATGTCACTAAAGAGTTTGATATGGTTTTTTCTTGTAACTAAAGGGCTCAAAGAAGCAATGATTTGCAGACAAATGAACTCACATTTTATAAATTAGTCTAATTTTTTGGCTGTAAATACTAGAGCTGTCAGCATGTGCACATCAAGGAAAAGCAAATACCATGTATAAATCCAAATGATGGCAATGAATGGCACATATGCTTACCAAACGCTGTCAAGATCTGAATGTGTAACATTGAAACAGAAAATGAGATGTAAAAGGTTTTTAAGAAAAAATAAAAACAAAAAATTAAGTTTAATAGAAGCAAAAAAGGATTCAACCAATATGGATGTCATGTTAAGCTGCTGATAGTAGATCTCACACTTATTGTAATTTTAGCAAATACTTAAAAAAGGATGGTGATATATACATTAAAACCATATTAATTTGGACTTCATGAACACAAAATGGATAATGAATCAGAGAGAAGCTGAGCTGATGCTTCCCATGTACCACCTGGAAAGTTTGCTGAGCCAGTGAATCATGTCAACAGGACTACAAGAGAGTATACGTCTACATTGGAACAAATTTTCTCTCTCCCTGACTTCCCCTTCTCTGTTCTTATTTTTCTGAGACAGGGTCTCGCTATGCAGTCCAAGCTGGCCTCTACCTTGCAATCATCCTTCTCCTTCAGCCTCCTAAGTGCTGGGAGCCACCCACAAATTCTTTTTAAGCAGTAGCCACCAATATCCAATTTAGGTGTCAAGAAAATAAAAGTGAGTCATAGAATCAATCATAAAACTGAAAGGACCTGATAAATTCCAAAATTGAATCTCTTCTTACCAATTGGTGACATTGACCTGGAAAGCTAATGTGACTTCCTCAAGGATACCAAAGATTTTTTTGTCAGGACACTCTCTTTTGTAAGTGCTACATATATCTATTCTAAAGTCAATCTTCATTTCCTCAACAATTACTTTTTTATTAATAATTTTCATAAATTCACATTAAACTGATTTTGTGTGATTTCTGATAGTCCAAATTAGAGAGGTTTTGACTATCGTACCTAATTTCAAAGTATCATTCAAGTTCACTGAGCCTATCATTTCTATAAGAAGTATCAATTATGTAGGTTCTAGGCAAAATTATTATATTCAGTAAACTATTTTTGAACCTTAGGTTTTTGCTTCACACTATGATTAATAAGAGTGATTATAAAGGAGAAATACAAGAAATGGCAAAGGAGAACACAGTGAAAGCAGCATGTAAGGAAGTATGTACAGTTTCCCGGTGTGACTGTAGGAAGATGGTCTCCCCTGTCCTCCATTCAGTAACTCTCCTAGAGTTCAAGTAAGGCAATCATCTCAAAAGCAGCTGCTGACTAGATACAGTCACTGGTTCAGAAGGCACTGACATGACTAGTCTAGCCTTTCTGGAGAACACTGCACTTCCATCTGGAAGGGAAGGAAGGAGAGAAAAGAATTCCCCCTCTTCGACCTCTTGGTACAATACTCCAAAGATACAGCAGCTAGTACCTTAAACTTGAAACATGAATAAGAAATGAGTGGGGCCAGATTTATTTTAAAACAGGAAAAGTCTTTCTTAGAGATCCAAAGTCTAAAGTCTCAAAAACTCTACCTTATAAAAATTACAGTCAACTTAAGCCTTCACAGGGCTTGCACATAAGCTCTTTAGTTAGCCATGAATGCAAAAAGTGATTTCTTCAACACTTACTTTAAAGAAGTGAGAAGTACTTATTGCATCTTATAAAACAGTTTGCAGGGGCTGGGGATATAGCTCGGTGGTTAAGTGTTTGCCTAGCATGCAAAAGGCCCTGGTTTTAATCCCTAGTACTGCAAAAGAAAAGTTTGCAAAATGATTATAGCAAGAATACTTGTAAGACAGTTCCAATGCCTATGGAAAAAAGATATGCTACGCTTATAATAACAAAAGATATAATGACATGCTCTTTTTACCTTTCCATTTTCTTCTAGGGATGCAGTCTGAAAAAGAAAGTAAGTCCCAAAGAAGAACACTGTCCCTTCAAAGGCAGCCAGAAATGTCCAATATAAGAACGGGCCCAACTGTAGCATAGCATTGCCAGAAATTTTCCTATTGAGAAATGGGGAAAAACAAGTTAATAACGAATCTCTGTAGGCTGCAACTTTAAAGGAACAGTGAAATACCAAAGATAGGCATGGGGTATGAAGGGAGCTACTCCTGATGGATTAAAACATTTTTGGTAAAGGACCAGGCTGAGCTGAAGGTTGATCTTCATGTAATCACTTCCTGACTAAGATGTTGGAATTAACTGTCAAAACACTTCTAAAATGCTGGTCACTGACAATAACATCATCAATAATAATTAGACCCCACTTAATGATTACTTATTATATGCCAGGAAATGAGTGAAGAATTTTATATATGTATTATAATGAAAATATAAAAACTATTTTGGTTCACATAAAACTATATGAAGTAGATATATTATTCTTCCCATTTACAAATAAAAAGAGCCTCAGAAAATGTAACATAAATGTAACATAATGGTTTTCAAACTTTGCACATTAGAATCACCTGGGGCTCTTTAAAAGATACTGATGCTTGGAAAGACACTAAATGTTTTCATCCATTTGTGGAAACTAGTAAAGTTCATAACAAAGAAACAGAGTAGAACAGAAGTCACTAGAAGTTAGGAAGAGTAGGGCAGAGGAGGATAATGAGAAGGTGGATAATGGGTACGAAATAGCTAGAGGCAGAGTAATATTTCTAATGTCCTATGGTATTGTAGGATAAATACAGTCTACAACAATTAGTTCAGTATTTTAAGTTCTTCCAATACGTGGAAGAGTATGAAGGTTCCCATCACAGAGAAATAATAATATTTGAAGAGGTGGATATGTTAATTACCTTGATTTGGTTATTGCATGTTGCATACATGCGTTGAACTATAATACTGTACCCCATAAAGTACAAATACTGTATATCCATTAAAAATAAATAAATACTGCTGCCTGGCTCTCATTCTCACTCTGATTACATTGGCATGAGGTATAATCTGAGCATCAGGACATTGCTTAGTTTCCCAGGTGATTCTAATGTGCAGTAAAATCTAGGAACCACTAGTGGCAGCAGCCAAAGTTCATCCTGTTAGTAAGAGACAGAGGTAATATGCAGTCCTGCATATTGACTTCAAAGCACATGAGCACATGCTCTCAAGGATGCTACCAAACTTTCCAACTACAACTGTTAAATTATCTCTCTTAATCAAATTTTCTTCCTGGAAATTTCAACTTTCTCAGGTCTTAGGGAGCCCTTTACAGTCTTCCATCAAGTAAGATAACATGTTTGAAGTTGTACAATGATGCTTTGATTAATGGCTGGTAGACAGACTAAAACTTAAATTTGTTAAAAATAGCACAATCTTCTCTGCACGAGCCAGAATGTGAAATAAGACTTCAACGGTAATGAAGCAGAGTTGCAGAAAGAAGATGGGTTTGTGTATTTATTTTTTTTGGCTTCTATTTCAAATTTCTCTTAACATTTCTAAAACGGTATCTAATCATTTAAATAACATACCTATTGATAACACTATTGAAAATGTCACTGGACTATATTAACATCTTCGTAATGTAAATGCAACCAATTCTTGTCCAGCTGGTATTAAGTACTACGGAGTTTTCTGAAAACATGGCAATTATGCAACTATTATGTACTGGAATTTCCAGGTGTGTACAGGAATCTAAAATCAGGGGTGCTGTATGTCCTAGAAAACTGGCAGGAGAAAAGAGGTGGCGGCTTCCCAGAAACAAACTCTCCCTATAGCTGGTAAATCATGTTTCTAAAGCAACTAGGAATTACAGGCAGGGCACCTCCCTAAAGATCCTTGGAGGGAGTGATCAGCAACTGCTAGCCAATGAGACTTTTCAATGACTTGGGCTGAGGCAAGAGGGCAAAAGCAGGAAGTGGTTTTTGTCTCTGTAAACATCTGTGGGAAGAATGGCAGGAGTAGCATGGTATGTTGGGTTACAAGTCAGACTTTCTAGCTGTACTCAGATAAATGAAGAAGCTATTGAAAACTCTGAGTGGGGCAACCGAGATGAAGAAAGCATAAATGAGAATGAAGATATGGAGAGAGGATGACCAGCAGCATATACTGACAGGCAACAGGTGTATCAGAACCTTTTCTTTTACTGCTGAAAGCTGTAGAAGAAACAAATGACATCATTCCCTACACTCAACAACTAGCTCAGTATTTAAATTTCTCATAAAATATGAAAATATCCAATTGCCTTGCTTCACATCAAAGTTTTTAGAAATGCTTGAGTCATTAAACCCCAATGGTGAAATCTGTAAGAAGCTATATAATGCCACTGCTAAAATTAAGTGATATACTTCAGAAAGAGTCACATGCAGATAGAACAGGGCTTCATGTCTACAAAGGAATAGGCAGACTGAGTAATCTAAAATCAAGTGACAAGCTGAGAGTAGGAGCTGATTAAACCAAGCACTTATACTTAACAAGTACAAGGTTAAAAAGGAAACCTGTACTTTGGCTGGGGCAACAGGTATGCTAAGGCCTTTATTTTCATATCAGATGTGGCAAGCACACCCTCTGCAAAATTCTTTAGTAACTCATGACTTACATCAGCAGTGCAGAAACTAAAACTTCATGGAAATCCTTACAATATTTTGTACACAATATCTTTTTCAGCTTTTTAACATCCTAAATTTATAAAAATGCTCAGCATAGCTCAAGAGGTATGTGCAGGAAGACATTAGAGTAATAAGATTAATAACTATAATCTATTGAAAATTTACTATGTGTTAGGCACTGGTTTTTATATGTAGTGACTCATTTAAATCTCACAAAATCATTGTCATTAGGTGCTATTATTGCCCATTTTACTAAAGATGAAACTAAGGGACATCCCAGTCAAGCAACCTATATAAGGTCATACGGTAAATGAGAATTTGAGCTCAGGACATTAGCCTAAGTTCTTGGTGACACTGAATGGGAGGGATTCTGCTTATTGCCCCTCCTGCCCCACTTCAACCACAGCAGGTACACCATTGAGTTTCATTTCAGATTGTCTGAAGACAAATGCATGAACACCACTGGCCAGTTAGAAAGAACACAGGGCTGGGTTGTTAAGAGAACTAAATTTTTTGATCTTCATTTTGCCTCTGGTTATGTTTTGTGTCTTTTAGGTAAGTCATTTCTGGTTCCTCATTTTCAAAGAGAATTTGAGCTCTGTAAGATTTCCATCGAGATTACTATGATTCTCATCTAGATCTAATTATTGACTCACAACAAATACAGAAATCAGTAGGATACATTAAACAATGCTATGAGGAAGCAATTAGCAAACTCTAGACTGGGGGAAACTACAACACAAATGATCTGGTTTTGTTAACAAATATATTGCAAAGTTAACCTATAGATTCAAGAAGCATATTAACCAATTGTAATGTATGGACTACATTTGGATCCTGATTCAGACAAGCATGGTATAAAAAATTTATCAACTGGAAAAATTTGAACATGAACTATGTTCTCTAATGTTGATGGTATTAAGGATGTAACTGACAAGGTACTATTATTGTGAAAGTCTTCTTTAAGAGATACACACTAAAACCACAATGAAATGTCACCTCATGCCAGTAAGAATGACTATTATCAAAAAGAAAAGATAATAGGTACTGGTGAGGATGTTGAGAAAAGGGAACTCTTGCACACTGTTGATAAAAACGTAAATTAGTATAGCCATTATAGAAAACAGTATGGCGGTTCCTCAAAAAATTAAAAACATAACTACCATATGATCCAGTAATCCCACTGCTCTGTATATACGTAAAAGAAATGAAATCAGTATGTTGAAGAGACATCTGCCCTCCCATGTTTACTGCAGCACTATTCACAGTAGCCAAGATATGGACTCAACCTAAGTGTCCATCAATAGCTGGGTAGACAAAGAGAATGTATATATCATAGAATACGACTGTGCCCTAAAAAACCAATGAAATCCTATCATTTGAAGCAAAATGGATTAACTGCAGATCATATGTTAAGTGAAATAAGCTAGGCATAGAAAGACAAGTACTGTATGATTTCCCTCAAGCCAACAACTGGATAGTGGTTACCAGAAGCTAGGGAGAATAGAAGTAAGGGAGGGATAGGAAGAGGATGGTTACTGTGTACTAAGTTACAGTTAGCTAGGAGTAAGAAGCACTGATGTGCTATTGCATAGTAGGGTGAATATAGATAATTATGTACTACATGTCAATAAGCTAGAAGAAAGGATATTGAATGTTTTCATCATGAAAAGATAAATAGTTGAAGTGATAATGTTTAATCTGATTTAAACATACAATGTATACATGTAATAATCACACGGTACCTGATTATTATGTTCAATTTTTATGTTTTTTGTATATCATTTAGAAAAATAAAAATGTCCTCTATACTTTTGTGCATGTTTAAAATTTTTCCTTAGTAAATACCTTTGAAATAATAAATATTAAAAACTTGTATAATTCTAACAAGTACTAAATATAAATTTTTATTAACTCCCTTAAATTTGTGCATTTTCATTTCAAATAAGCCACCCAGACTTCTAATGTACTTAGCACCCACTGTTTAGCAATATTTATTATCTGCTGTAAATTAACATCTTTATCCTTAGCTGTAGGCTTAATTTCTAAATATCCCATCAAATCATACGTTAAGAAACTGGGGCTAGTGCCAAGTCCTCCATCCATAGAGAAAAGGATCCATTTCCAACTGACACAAAATGAATATAATGCTTGGTGAGTTATTTTCTTCAACAAAACAGTTTTAGAATGGAGCTAACAGGCGAGGATAGCTAATGCTTCAGATGCAGTTTTCAAAAGAAAGGATAACAAAACCGCATCAGGTCAATCCATTATATGTAGGAGTTAATATTCTAAACCACCAAAAATTTTTGTATGTGCCTTCCCTTTTTGGGCAGTTAAAATATTGTGTTTCTGTAAGATGCCAGAAAACTGTAACAATGTAGGTTCATGCTGCAGGAATTAATGATTCTGAATTTATTACCTCACATGTATTCCAATACAGGAACCATACCTAGGAAAAATGTCATTTTCCTGTGAATAATCTGTTGTCAGGAGCTAAAAATTCAGAGCAGAACCATATAATCAAACCAGGTAAGCAATTCTGTGTCCTTCCACTTACAGATGAAATGAAACCTACAACTTAAAGTCTGAGGGGATGTGAGGTTTAACTTACATATACAACCGGGGGTCTGAGGTCAGAGTGTCAATGTTGATGTGTTGCTCCAATAGACTGTAGGCCAGGATGGGCAGGGATGTGAAACAGATATTGTACATTGTAAGATAAGCAGCATCATACAATGGCTGAAATGACAAACAAAAGAGGAAAGAAATGTACTGCCGCAATCATCTACAAGATATTTATGTATCTGCAAAAATCAGTACCGAAAACAAGACAGTTTCCTTTTATGCTTTTTGTGACAGCAAAAGAAACTTTGTAAATAAGGTATTCTGCCTGATAAATATAAAAAAGAAACTAACATTTTGTGATATGTCCTATTAATATATCCTCCCCTTTAATAGGATCTTAATCAGAATGTTTAGATACCATAAGCTCTATTTCTAATAGACATTAACTATTAAATTTTCAGATTTTTCAGTTGCTAAATATCTAGCTATTCAGCAGGGTGTATGTATATGTATGTATCTTGGTTTGAATTCAGGGCTTCGCAGGTGCTCTGCCACTTGAGCCATACCTCCAGCCCCAAATCTAGATATTCAGTAGGTATTTAAGCATAGACCAAATAAATGTAAGTCAGGAGTCCGTACGGAAAGCAAATATAGGGAGTAGCCAGCCTGTGTTGTAGTCTTTTGTTAATATTTCACATATTTTTGGTTAATATTTTATAAGTCAAAATCCTATAATAACCCATTTCTAAACCCTCTTCCTGAGAGTTCCTCTGGTGTGCATTCTTCTCCCTGCAGAGTAATAAACTAATTTGATCAACTACAAGCATGTTCCTCTTTGGGTGGAAGGCTTTGACAATCTGACATCCCAAAACAGAACTTGGCATAAAGAAAGCATTTCAGAAATATTGGATAAGCGAGTGAGTGCAGATTAGAAGCTATAACACATTTGTAAATGACTGATCTGATATTATAAATCTGCCTTTATTGAAAAAAATTTAAGGAAGTTTATAAATCTCATTATGATGAAAATACTGAGTTCAGTATATCTACACTATGCTAGAAATTTTCATACAGCCATTTTCTGTGCTCTGAATAAAAAACCCCATACTCATTGCATTTTTCACATAAAATATTCTTTGATTAACAGTAAAATGCATTTAAATGTAACTCCAATTAACATAATTACCTATTTCTAATCAATGTACTAAAGGCATAATTACTATCATAATGGCGATTGAGTCAAAAAGGCTGGGAACAACTCAAATAGAGCATTACTTCATTTACTAGCTGACTTCAGAACATTTCCTGAGTACCTACTAAGTACCAAGTACTGGGAACAGAGATAATTCAGCCCTGCCCACAAAAGAGCTGAAATTCAAGGCAGGGAAGTGGGGTAACACACAAGGAGCTGCGGGGGCTCTGAGGAGGGAACCGTAACTCTGGCCTGCAATAGAGAAAAAGCAAGAGATAATGTGTGCAGCATTGTCAATGAAATTAAAAGGATGGCTCTACATAAAACGTGGAGGTGCTTCCCACATACTTTCTATAAACAATTATTTGAGCTCAGTAAAGATATTCCATTGAATTAAAATGTATAAAAAGGTGCTGCATTCTTTTTGATTCTCAAGTGAGAGTACTCGTTTGTAGCAGTCAACACAACATTTACTTGGGAAGCTACTTATTTTCACTAATGAGCAAATTAAAACAACAACTCAGATTGACTGGTGTGTAATTTAGTCCTGAATTTCATTCAAACAAAAGAAGCATCAATCTACTTTTATTTCATTATGGGACTCTAAAGTTACATGAGAGACAATTGTAATTCTTAGATGCATAATTAGAGGAGACACAATGTCCCTAAAACAAACATCAGATTTAGTTGATAATACTGTTTGTTCTTAAACCTGTTACAAATGTCTCCTTTCCACGGGGGAAAAAAGACAAGTACAATCTTAACTTTATTAAAGAAAGAGAGGCTTTTTGTTTAAACAATCTTAAAATCCTGATTCTGTTTCTACAATTTTCATAGTCTACTCTCCCAACTATCAAAGAACACCTATTGTGGTTCTGGACTGAAAGAAAAACTGACACATACTGCAAAGAAACACACAACAAAGGCTGCTACTTTCAGCATTAACACAAGGCCAAAGTCAAAGAAGATTTTTGTGGGCTGGGAATGTAGCTCAGTGGTAGAGCACTTGCTTAGCACACATAATGCCCTAGGCTTGATCCCCAGCATTACCCAACCCTCCCACCTCCCAAAAAAGAAGGTGATTTTTCACTTTATGTCATCTCCTCAGAGAGACCTTCCTTTTACCTGAAACAGTTTTCTTCTAAGATATCTGCATAGTTCCTTTAGCTCATCAGGTCTCTGCCAAAATGTTGCCTCATCAGAGAGATCTTTCTAGATCATCTTCTCTAAAATAGTATATACCTCTCCCTCAGACTTTATTCCTTTATAATGATTTACTTTTCCATTCAGAGCATAAATTAGTATTCCATCTCATGAATTTGATTATTGTCTATCTCTCCCCATCACTATACTAAAGGTTTATGAAGGTAAGAGACTTTGTTTTGATTACTGCTATGCGGTCAAAAAAACATCACTTCCTACCATGAGGAATCAAGAGACATAATGACTGTCTTTGAAACTTAGAAATTCAGTCTCTAATACTTGTGACAATGTAATCCAGCTTGGTAAAATCATTGAACTGCTCATAGATTAACTACCAAACTTCCAACTCACTCAGTCTTAGTGGCTATACTTCCACTAGAGCAATGTAAAGTCTAATTTAGTTATTAAAACAAACTTACCATCCCAGTTAATATATAGCACGTTCTTAATGTAATAAAATTTCAGAAAACAATAGAGGGCAAAACATTTAGAGTTGGTTTTAGTAATCTCAGACTTTTATCTAGGAACTGCAGCTTTCTGACCAGCTTTAAAATCTGTTTTTCTAGAAAAACCTGAGAACCTGAAAAGGAGTAGAGCTTTATTTGATAAAACTTTAGGACTATCAGAACATGTTTTATACATTGATAAAAGAAAAAAATTTTTTAGTATTGTTTTTAATCTCAACTTTATCAGGATATGCCAAAAACCTTTCAAAAAGAAAAGAACAAGAAAATTAGCAAAGATAAAAATGTTTGCTACTGTCAAAAGCCAAGCCAAGAAGATCAACTGTTGAAACAACAACAAAAAAAAATACTTTTACTTTGGACATGCTTCTCTAATCCCTATAATGTAGTAACTAAAATGTAATATATTAACAACAAATGTAAACTGCATTGTAATACATAAGTCAGGGCACAAACCTGTTGTGAGAATCCACAGAAGAACTGGTACAAAAACTGTGGCAAAATGAAACAAAGGTTCTAGAAAAAAGTTAAGAAAAGTGTTAATATTTTCACTTGAACAACTTTCTAAACTAAAATAGGAAACTATTCCAACAGTCTACAGTCACTCCCAAATCCTTCTAATGTCAGAATGCAATAAATCTCTATTCCAGAGACAGAAGGAAACTAAAAAATCAAATAATTAATTCATATTAAGACTACCTTTGGCCTTACCTACTCAATTATTTTATGAAAACTTCTTGATATTCTTCTTCCAAGGAAGAAATGAGCTTATCCAAAATGATCACCTAAGATATTATACCTTAAATACCAATTATATTTGCTAAATCTAATTGTGATAGGTGTATATTTCAGACAATTAATACAATAAATACAAAATCATTATAGATTATCTTGATATTGAACAGTTATCAGTTAATGCTTTACTATCTCTATTATTGCCTCACCAAACAACATATTATTGTTGAGCACCTATACTACATGTAAAGATGGCATTATTGCTGATAACAAATAGAACAAACTTTATTCTCCTAAAAGACTAATCACTTAATTGGACGAATACTAAAAACAAGCATAAAAATGCATGTTGTGAATTGGTAAGGCAGTTAAAAGCCAGTGAGTGTGATTATAAAATACTGAAATTAATGCCTTCAGGCAAAATTACTATAACTACAATTTTCAAACAATTGCTATCCTTCAAAATAGGCTGTAAACTTATTTATGTGCTGCTGTCACTTATATATGGTATTTCTGAACTTCTTGTCCAGGCAGCATTTTCAACTGCCCATTTTTGAGCTGTGTTAAAAAACCAGTGTCCTTTATTTTGTCACATATTCTCACTTAGTTAATTCACCAGACTTAGTTCTGGAGACTTGAGGCTGTTTTGAAAACTAAAATGCATCCTCAAAGGATGAGCATATGCATGCAGAAGACATTTAAATAAACGTACTACAAGCTCTGGATGATGTTCCTAAATAAATGTAGTCTACATATTTTGAGTTGTCCCTGCAGCATGAGAATAAATGTCAGGATCCCCAAGGTCATCAACCAGCAGAGCAACATTTACTTGAATGTATCAGTTCTAATACAATGAAGAATATTGTTTACAGCATTTCTAGTCATATACAATGAAAAAAAAAATTAAGTGTTCTGAGACTGAAGGCAGAGCTCAGTGTGGATTACAGGGTACTTTATGAGAAAAGGGTGGGGGCTGCTTCCCCCACTAGAATGTAAGTTCCAAAAGAACAGAAATATTGCCTGTCCTACTCCACGGGGAATCCTCAGTGCCTAAAACATTGTTTTGCAGGTGGTAACACATTCAAAATATATTTGTTGACTGAATAAAGAGGCTAGAATTTGAAGTAGGTCTACAGATGAGGATTATGTTGATAGCAGAAACCAAGGCAAGACAGTATTTTAAACATATTTTTGGTAATATAGGGTCAGACTGGGGGGAGTACCTTAAAAGACTAATGTTTAGACAGAAAAGAGTAAATATTCTAAGGGGCAAGTTGAAGAGTGGGATTTTCTAAACTTTAACCTGGTTGGATTATATAAGGAAGACTGAATGGAGAAATAGAAGGCCGGAAGTTCTGTTGTTAGTGAAGTATTCCAGGAGTAAGGAAATAACAATTTGAAGATGCAGTGGTAGGAAAAGAGAAAGGAGCAGGGCATGGTGATTTGTGCCTGTAATTCCAGTACTTGGGAGGCTGAGGCTGGAGGATCATGAATTTGAGGCCAGCCTGGGCTGGGCTACATAGTGAGATCCTGTCTCAAAAATAAAAACAAGCCAAAAAAAGAGGAAGACTTCTTAGCTCAGCCAAAGGTTAAAAGTATTAGAAATCCTATTCTGACAAAAGACAGCAATATAAAAGAAATGGTGTTAAGTCAATAACCAAGATAATGAACAAAAAATACTAATGAAGACAGAGGGAATCAACTACATAAATAATCGCCAATTCTCTATACAGTGAATGGGGATATGCCAATTTCTGACCAGTGTTCAACATTTGTCAAGTAAATGCTTATTTTGTTCTTCTTAACAGAGCATTCCTTCCATCTGGTGGCAGTTGTCTGAACTGCTGGTCAAAATCCTTATAGGCAAACCCAATTTCTGAAACAGGGTCAGATTATCAAGTATATCTGCAAAACAAATTGTCAAGAGGCCTCCTACCAGGGGGAGGTTAAGAAAAAATAACCAGTCTTGCAAAGCCCAGTAGACCCTAAATATTATGCAGAAAGTGCTCTAGCCATAAATAAACCTATGGTGGAAATACAGCTGTCGCCTAACTGAAGAACCAAGGCAAAATCTCTCTCTCTCTATCTCCCTCTCTCTCTCACTCTGTGTGTGTGTGTATGTATGTAAGTATAGCATGATCTCATATACAGAACCTAAAAAAATGTTGATTTCATAGAAGCAGATAGCAGAATGGTGGTCTACACAGCAAAACCCTTTGTACAATTAATGTGTACTTTAAAAAAGGACCCAAACATAGAAGAGGAACTGTTTGGATAAGGGATAGCCAGCAGGAGGGAGAAGGAGGAAAATACTGATGGTGGGGTAAGTATGATCAGAGTACATTATATATATTATGAAAATGTCATAATGAAAGTCATTGAAAAAAATTTAAAAGGTGGGAAGGAATAGAAGACTAACAGAGAGTTGGATATGATCAAAGTACATAATATGTAAATATCACAATGAAATACCTTTGTGCTAAATTGATACATGCCAATTTAAGAAAAGAAGTGCATGCAAATATTGTGCTCAAGTTAATTTCTCTACAGAAGTATGCATTAGTAATTCAGAAACTACTTTAAACATTTTCTAGGACTGAACAAATAAGTACATACATTGTGGACAACAAGAACTAGGTTTCTTATCACTGGGGTAAGGATTTACAAAAAAGAAATGAGGGAAACCAAGCAGTTGGTAGTGGGAGGCTGAGGCAGGATTCTGAATTTGAGGCCAACCTAGGCTATGTAGCGAGACCCTGTCTCAAGACTAAAAAACTAAAAATGAAAAATATAAAGTATTTATAAAAATATAAAGTATTAATTAGAATGAACTGAGTTCACACACTGAATTCATACTGATAGCTTTAAATGTGTTCCAAAGTATATGTACCTGCACACATACACTATATACACTATGTATTTATATCTACATTCATAGATATAAATAGATTTTCTGTGTGTATATCTATGTATGTGTGTATATCTAATTCTGTTCATGGAGAAGGCCTGGAATGAACTTAGTCTAGCAACAATGAGATTTTACTTTCTAAATACTATTTGCAAATTAAAAGAACTAGGGTTCTGTGGCAAAATCTGAATCCAGGGTTGAGATAGAAAAAATACAAAATGAGAGTATGTAGTACTAGAAAATAAAGAAGCCTTCAAAGAATGATGGAGATGTGGGGTTGAAAGATTCCCAATGGCCAAATATGGAACACTTTGAGTAACAAAATAGTGATAACAATGGAGTTGTCGTATGAATATTGTTTTAGTAATAGAACATTCTTTGCAAATGAAATTCTACAGAGAAAAGTTGAGGGATCTTGAGATCCCTCTCTCAGAATACCATTTGAATCAAATTATCAAAGTTAACATCATGAGGGAGGGGGTGGGGGTTAGGGGGAAGAAATGGCCCAATGTATGCACATATGAATAAATGAATAAAAAAAAACCAAAGTTAACATCATGAACATATTGATAACACATGCCTCCTAATACATTAAAAGGTTCGTAGTATCACTTCTGTGGTGTTTATTCCAAAAATGCATAATATGAATCTAATAAGCAAACATTAGACAAGCCCAAGTAGAAGGACATTCTACAAATTAAAATGGCTAGTACTCTTCAAAAATGTTAAGACCATGAAGACAAAAAAGACAGGAGCTATTGCAGATTAAAGATTAAGAAGGCATGACAATTCAAATGCAAGGGTAATCCTAAAAAGAGGTCGACTACAAAAAGGAAATCAATGGCAAGCTGTGGGTATGGGTCAAATTGCAGAGCAAAACTGCCTAGCAAGTGCAAGCCAGAGTTCAAACCCCAGTACTGCCAAAAGAAAAAATGTAATTTGAATACAGCATGTAGACTAATTAATAATAATGTACTAACTAGTATCAACTGCTGATTTTGACAACTATATTGTACATTATGTATAGTTATGTATAAGGCAATAACATTTGATAAAGCTAGGCAAAGAGTACATAAGAATTATTTTGTTAATTTTACAATTTTATTATTTCAAAATAAAAAGTCAAAAAAGAATTTTACAAACCCTATTGTGCAGAACACAGGAGATCCAGCTTACAATAATTGGCATACTTTACTTGTTTAACCTTCATGTATGCCAAGTCCATTATGCACGAAGTAAGTAGATTAAACTAACTTCATGAATTCAAGTTCTGAGGAATCTCGAAGGCAGGACAGGGGGTTGAGCAAATAAACAGCCCTAGTCCATATCATCCTTTAGGTAATGCAATTCTGCTTCTGTCTTTATCTGTGTAATTTCATGTGAACAAAGGATTTTGCTATTAAAAGAATAGTGTGGGTCAGTGGTAGAGCATATACCTAGCATGTGCTATGGCCTAAAACCTAGCCCCCAACACCACAAAAAAATAGTAGTTTGAAACACTACTCAGCATAAAAGGGTAGCAACTCTTGATACATGAAATAACATGAAGCTCGAAAACAAATTATTCTAAGTGAAGTAGGCCACACACACAGTGCCATTTATATGTCCATTTATATGAAGTCCTAGAACAAGTAAAACTAATATGTATATTATATGTATAAGATCTATTTATATAATCTATGACATATGTTACTATGTATAATATAGCAATATAAATCAGATCAATTATTTTACTTTTTATAGAGATGGTTATATTGATAAACACATTTGTCAAAACTCATGGAACTGTACACTCTTAATGGATAAATGTGATTATATTTAATTTATACTTTAGTAAACTTAACAAATATTAATCTCAAATTTCTTACACCTAAAGAAATGTCTGGTTTCTGATTCATTAAACAGACACCACTGCTTTGCTGAGAGCAAATTTTAGCATCAAGACAGCAAAAGAAACATGAAAGAGGGGAGAATAAAGCCATGACCAAGTTTAGCCAATGCTGGATTAAACAGTCAGAAGTTAAAATACAAATGTTTTATCACATACCTTATAGAAGAAATATTGTACAAGATGGGCTATTCTCACATAGTATAGATGTCCATGAGCCAACAGCAGTTTCTTTAAATGTTTAAACTTTGGAACAGAATAATCGCTATTCCTGGCTGCTTGGCGACCTTCTTTACCTTTAATACCTAAAGACATGGATCAACATGTGATGAGGATTTTATAAATTAAGCAACTCCTTAATTTGATTTTACATTTTTAAGTTGCTTAATGTTAAAGATCAATTTTTTAGTTTAGCCTTTTTTTAAATCAAAAAGGGACTTGAAACTGACCAAATAAAAGTACAAGTTTGATTAGTAGCTAGGAATTTGTAACACAACATAAAGCAACTAAATTGAATCATTATTTCAATAATTACAAAGCAAAAATTATCTGGAGGAAAAACTTTCCCCTGAAAATTATTTTAAAGTACTCAGTAAGTGCTTAATTGTGCATAACACTAAACCAACCAGGGATTACATTAAGGCAATTCAGAGACCTGGGTTTTGTGGTTCAGAATTCAATAGGAAGACGGTGAAGTCCTTTCACTGAATGAAAGGACTAGCTGCCCAAGGATTCTATGAGGTCAAGAAGCTTTAGGCCATTTCCACACTGGATAACCAATGAGCAGAACTTAGAATTCCAGACTAAATATATCTACTTCCAAATGGGAAGGAGAATTTGGTATGTAAACTGTAGTACAATAATTCCAAAGATATTAATCCTGTATGACCCCAACCCACCGCCAAAAAATTGCCAAACTATTGGGTCTGTTTCCTAATAGCAATATGACAGGAGAAAAAATGGTGCAGGTGGCAGAAAAGCTGTTGGCATGTGTCAAAAGATATAGTGCAGCAACATAATCAGACAGCCTGGCCAACAGTAGAAAATCAACAAAATTGCATGCATGCTGTCAAAATGAGGGAAGCAATGAATTATGTTGCCAATAGGTTGGGAAATTCACTTTATATAGCTAATATAAAAATATTCTCTCAGCTGGGTGCCAGTGGCTCATGCCTATAATCCTAGCTACTTGGGAGGTAAAGATCAGGAGGATCGTGGTTTGAGGCCAGCTTGGGCAAATAGTTTCCAAGAATCTATCTTGCAGTGGCTCAAGAGGTAGAGCGCCTGCCTAGCAAGTGTGAGACCTTTCGTTCAAACCCCAGTACTGTCAAAAAAGAAGGAAAATATCCTCTAACTTTTGCTTTACTACATTCCCTCTAGGAGTACTACTTTAGGATGGTTGTGATAAAATGAGTCCTTTCATTAGATTAACAAATATTACTTGAAATTCAAATTCAAGGTGAACAACCAAAACAGTATCTCTAGAATATAAGCAATATTAATGCTATACAGATGCCATCTCATTAGATGTTTCTTACCTATTCCCACATGGGATTCCAAGATCATACTAACATCATTGGCACCATCACCTATCGACAGTGTTATTGGGCTGCCTTTTAAATTCTTCACCATTCTGACAATCTGAACATTAAACACAAAAGAGGTATAGAAAAGGTCAAAGCAAAATGTGACAATGAACTACATTAGGGCTTTATATTTCATTCACGCCTATAAATGGAAGTTTTGTAACACAAAGGTAGTTTGTGCATATATGAATGATAGTCTCAAATTCTCAGATGCAGAACACAGTCATTCAAAACATAACACCAACATCCAGTTGTTTCTGGTTGTGTACATGAATGAACTCTCAACCTTGCCTCCCACACTTATTAGAGGTCAACATGTTTCCTAGGAACATATGCTAAATTCTTACACTCACCTGGCTGCCAACTAAACTTCATTAAATCTTCTATTGCCCAGTATGGTTTGACCTCTCCTATATAGAGCTACATTTTAAGGGGGCATCTTAAAGGGAATGAGATTTGCAGAAAGATATCCCAAATATGTGTGCAAAGTCTGTCACTATTCTGTGTCTATTCTACATGTGAAAATGAGGATGTATTGCTCAGTGTTGTGCACATGGCAGGTACAGAATAAAATGGAATAAAATGTTCATGTCTGGTGTTAAAACACTTCTGCTTTGGGGTTCTTCAAAACCTTCTCCTAGCAGAGTTACTTGTGAGAAGTATGTTGGGGAAACAGCTGCCTTCCCACTCTATGTTTTAGAAAATCACTGCTTGTTATGTCAACTCTCAAAACCCCTTAGAATTTAACAGCCTTAAAAAAGCTTAAATAATTCAGTAGCTAAATAATGCTTTGCAAAAATTTTGTCCTCAAGATCGCTCTAACCAGTTAATATAAATAAAATCTATTTTCAACAAAATTCAAGTGATTACAAATTAATTTGTGCAAGGCTAAAGCACCACAGTCTTTTCTTTAAACAAAATTGAGGTTTTAGTTATATTAAATAGCACAGAACCACCCCCCACAGATCCAATTCCACTTAACACAAAAATGATGTGACTGTGAAATGCCAGCTATCCTCCCCCATCTCTTTCCTAATTTGGTTCTTCTTAAAGACTTTATAAAAGATTGTCAGAAATAACCTGTAAGGGAAAGAGCAAAGGACAAACTTAAAGCACCCAAACTGCATTTTTTTTGGACAGGCTATAATACTGGTTAACTAACTATACCTGCTACACCATGCCCAGCAATGATCTGTACCTCAACTTCAGTCTGGGAAGGTCTGGACAAGACAATAAAATTATTAAGGGTGACAGCCTTTGCAGAGAAATATAGATCATACTAAAAGATTAAAATTTGTTCTTGTGGAAAGATAAAAGGATATTTGGTTATGGACTATAAAGTCATGAAAGATTTAGTTAGGTAAACATGGAGTTTTTCAATGATCCCCAGGTCACCTAGATTAAAAGTTTCTCTTCAGGGCTGGCACAGTGGCTCAAATGGTAGGGTGCCTGCCTACCATGTGCCTGTGAGGCTCTGAGTTCCTTTTCTTCAATCTCGAGAATAGCTTTCATGATAAAGAAATAATTTTACCAAAAAATCTATTTATCAACTATTAACTGGATGCAATATACTACTCACAACAATATACTAAGATCCCAAAAGGATATAGGCTTGGTCATACACCTTTAGAAGCATATAATGAAAATGTAGAGATTGGTCACAAATAAAAGTGTATTAGATAACTAGATTTATAATACAAGATAACAAAATGTGGTATCTATACAGGAATACATGAGATTGAAATTATTCATACAAGGCCTATAGTATCAGAGAAGGGAGAGGACACTATCTGCCAGAATGATCAGACATTATTCTGCAGAAGAAAGCATGATTTAAATCATGATATATTAGTAAAATTTGCGGACAGGAAGAGGAGAGTATTTCAAAGAAAAAGAATGGCATATTCAAAGGTACACAGCCAGGTAAGTATAGTACATGCTCAGAACATAGATTAGGTATGACCAGATCAATAAATTTTCATATATGGAGCATGGACAGATATATATGGAACCAGATCAACATGGAGTGATATGAAAATGGTAGCAAGGTGCAGAAGGAACTCAAGCAAAGTAATACTGCAGGCAAAAAGACAAGCGAGGTGGCTAGCTTAATGACCTATTAAAGGTCTAGTCTTAGAAGTTAATAGAAAGGAAGGAATAGATGGAAAAGACTATATACTAAAAAACAGAATTTGGTGACTGATACTATAAGAAAGAATGAAGCATGAGGGAAATCAATACAGATTTTGAGGTTCTAAGTCTAGAAACCTGGAAGTACAGTGAGCTCAGTCACAGATTTCTATGATGCCAAGGAAAATGATGGTTGGGTTATAGAGAAGGCAGAGTTGGACAATGACATATCTAAGAAGATAGGTTTGGTAAGCAGCTGAAGAAATAAAGTAGAACCCTAAAGATCTGGACTGAAGATAATGACTTGAACGTCAACTGTATGGACATGAGAGATGAGTAGGTATTATCTTGGAAGAAGTGACTACAGTGAGAAAAATAGAACAGACTAAAAACTGAACAAGGGACCCCATATTCTGGGTAGGAGAAGAAACATGGTATCAGGAATATATATATCTGCCTGGGCAGTGGAGTAGTCAGAAACCGGGTGAGCAATCTGAGCAGCAGATATTGAATGGAGGGGGAAAAAAGAGGGAGCGATGGCGTTTAGAGCAAGCCTTTAATTTAAGAAGGCAAGATTTCTATGGATATTGTACTGGTTACATCTGATTCCCAATTCCAGTATTCCCAATTCCCAATTCTGGTAGCTAAAGAAAAGAAAGAAGAGCCTCTACTAACACCAGTATGGTAGGCTGGAAAGTAGACAGGCAATTCCCCAACTGGGATGGGCAGTGTGTACAGTGTGTAAAGGAGAAGCCACAGATGCATCCATCCCCTGGTTGATAGCAAGTAGCTGAAGAATCTAAAGAGGAAAGACTAACACATATAAAAGAATATCCTATGAAACTGACAAAGTATGTAACTGAGATACTAAGTTTCCTTACAACCAGTGACTACAAAGAAACAAGGTGAAGCAGGTCCATTTTGACTGGGGGAGTTGGAAAAGGTAGCATATGTGAGGTGGTCCTTGAGCTGAGTTTTATTATTAAAATTTATGTTAGGTCAGGGGAATTCAGAGAGAATTTTAAATGAGGAAATGAGACAACAGGGAGACTCAGGTGCCACATTCAGTTATCTGCCCTCCATTCTAAGAGACTATCAAACTACTGAAAGTAGATGAAAAAAGACTATATGATAGAAATAGTGTTTTTAAAAGATACATTTAGAAGTGTGGGGAAAAAGACTGAAAGTGCAAGGTGAAAGCAAGGAGACCAGTGAGGAGAATAAATCAAATAGACTATGTATAAAGTCATAAAGGTTTAGACGAGGCTGGTGGCAAAAGGTTTCAAAAGATGACATGAAAATGAGAGCTATGCCAAAGGGCAGGTAGAAAAGGGCAGGAAGAAGGATCAAAAGCAGTTGTGAGACTTAGGGAGCAAAAGAAAAATGGTCATAACAGAAATAATATAAGAGGGAAAAAAACCCAAATTATTCTAATGAAGAAACTTATGTCCTAGACACTACAATTTAAAGCAAGAGTAGGGCATCCATATGGAGCTGTCTAGCAGTCAGCTAGAAATAGGAAACTGAACACCAAGAAAAAGTCATGGCCAGAGACACATCAATGAGAGACAGAGAAATGGATGTGTTAATCCAGAGATAATAGTCCACAAAGTAAAAAGCAGAAGGAAAACTTCTCAGCCGGGTGCCAGTAGCTCACACCTGTAATCCTAGCTACCTGGGAGTTTGAAATCAGGAGGATCTCAGTTTAAGGCTAGCATGGGCAAATAGTTCATGAGACCTCCATCTCCAAAACAGCCAGGACCGGATGTATGGCTCAAGAGGTAGAGTGCCTGCTTTGCAAGTGCCAAGCCCTGAGTTGAAACCCTAGTCCCACCAAAAAAAAAAAAAAAAAAATCAAAAAACAACAAGAAACTCCTTAGTGAAAACAGGAGACAAAATAAACAAAATAAAGATACTAGGTTGTCAAAGACGTAAAAAAGTCAGGACTATAGTGCATCACAGTAATTAAGGAACTAAAGTTTTAAGGAGGACAAAACTGATAGTGTCTACTGCAGGGAGAAATGAGGAAGAGAATAGCACAGTATTAAGCAAGTCAGTAGAGTAATAACATCAGAAAGAACACAACACTTGGGGTTAATGTCATGGGGAGCAAGGAGCAGTATAATGGAGGCAGCAGAGACTACGCACTCATTAGAGAAGTCTGGAGGTGAGGAACTGGATAGCAAGCTTGAGGGGATGATAAGGTACAGCATAGATTTAAATCAATTTTGGGAAGACTCCCGAGTTTGTTCACAAAGAGGAAGAAGTAAGGGAAGAAGAAATCAGATGTGTACAGAAGGACCCAGAATAGAACATTAACTAATATGCATACTTACCTGGGCTTTCTGTAATGGTGCCATCCGGCAGCAGAGCACCGCAGTGCACTTCATACAAATTTGTAGGAAAATACTTTTGTAGTTATTCGAACTAGAGTCTTGACTAGAATTTAGTATAAGGGACAATGTGGAGCCATCAATAATTAATCCATATTCCTGATGTTCTGTCCATGCTCTGAAAAAGATTAAAAATGTTTTGTGTGAATCTATTGTACATTTTTATTTAGGATCCTTTTTTCCGATGACAGAAGGAAGTGTCCCAGATGAGTCATCAATCTGGTTCCTTGAACTGTTCATTTCAAAGAAGCAAATGCCTTTAATGATGGCACAATAGTAACTTTCAATTACATCTTTGAAATTTAAGCTGCCCGGAGATTTGACTTTATGTTCCAAAAAGTATAAAAATAAAGGAGTTTGTGCAGTATATACCTCTATATAAGAAACAGAAGGTGACTTCTGGGAATTACAGATCAAGCTAGTATAAAACAATAGTAATGCTGATAGGAAGATAAATCATCAGTTAATCAGAAACCCCTTAATGATACAAACAAAAGACAAAATGGCTTCGGGGTACTCATAGGAAACCTTTCTCTATGTATCTTTGTCTGAGTGACAAAACCTATCCATTGAACACGGCTTCTCAAATATGACATAGAATCAAAAGATATGGTACTCATTAAAGAATGTTATATAATATTAACATTCATATGTGTGTGGGTATATATTTTTTTTCTTAAATAAATAACATTTTATACTAGATTAGTAGTTCTCAATCTTAGCCTTCTCATTAGAATCATTTGGGTGGCTTTATGCCTTGGGCCCATCCCTAGATCAATTAAATCAGAATATCTTAGGCAGGGCTTGGTTACTATTGGTATACTTTAAAAGCTCCTTAGGTAGTACTGTAGGCCTTAGTTCTATAGCAAGTTCTAAGAGGTATTAGCTGCCAAGAAAGACAAATGTAGCAAAGGTGAAGGTTTTTTTAATATATAGGGAAAACTTACAATTATATCAATCAATTGTTTTGTAATTAGGGGAGCAAAAAAGGAGTTATTCTATTTTTGCTCAGGGAATCTTGGGTGCCCTTTGAGAATCACTATAGTAGAAACACTAGGTATAGCAATATATCACAGTTATACATTTAGGTATGCAATTTAATGTTACTGAGAGTTTAATGTGCAAAGGGATCACCTGGGGATGTTATTAAAATGTACATTCTGATTCAGCAGATCTGAAATCCATTAGATTTTGAAATTTCTAAGCTGCCAGTGACACTAGAGATATTCCATGGAGCAAACTTTGAGTAGTAAAGGCCTAATATACCTCATCATTCCTTTATTCCATATTTATTTGTTATATACAGCTCATATCATATTTTATACTTATTCATGCCTTGCTTCATAATTGTGTGAGCACATTGTATTCAATAATTAAAGAGATTAATTATGTGTTCTCTTTCTTTGCTTACTTACTCACAGAGCTGACTTACTGGGTAGAAAACAGCAGCTCAATAATCAAAGAATATTTGTAATCACCAACTACAAGCATGTAATTTTGAGAAAATAAACATTTTTATAAGAGGTTGGAGATATAGTTCAGTGATAGAGTGCTTGCTTAGCAAATAAAAGGCCCTGGGTTCAATCTTCACCACTTAAAAAAAGGAATTATTGATTAAGATTTCCTTGGAGAACAGAAGATCTCCCTGGAATGACAGAAGGATACATGAGCGAATATATGTAACAAAACAAGGTAATACATAGTTAATGTCCAGTTACTGGGACAATAAATCCACAAAAAAAGAACAGTCAGTTCTTTGTGAGGTATGATTCATAAAGTAGGACTTGAAGGCAAGGGAAAAAAACAGGTAAAAGAAGAAAATGTATGTTGGTGAGCATTGGAAAGCTAGTTAAGGTCACTGGAGGTCTTTGGAGTGACCTGAATCTGTGGGTATTGGAGAAAAACCAAACATTGCGGAGTAGTGTTATGATATAGATAATGCTTCACTTAAAGACCACTCATCTGACAGAAGGGCTTAAGGGATTTGAGGCATGAGGTGCTAGGCCTCTGATGCAAAGCACTAGTGGTAAGAAAGGGACCATGACTAAAGCCTGAGTGCTGACAGGAACTGGAAGGGGAAACTAGCAGAAGCTGGCAAAGATGATTCTGGATCTGAAGCCTGTGCAACTTAGGGAAAGATTGTGCCTGAGTCTAACCAGATAACCAGGAAGAGGGGATGATCTGAGATGGTGTTAAGTTTTCCATAATGCCTGGCTTTTATAAAAGTGTGGCACAGCTGGTGAATAGAACTATGGACTAAACATGTCCTTTCAAAATTCATATGCTGAAGCCTGGGCTAGGGATATAGGTCAGTGGTAGAGCACCTGCCTGGTAGAAGCAAAGGGTCTATATTCCATCCCAAGCACCAAAAAAAAAAAAAAAAAAAAGTTGAAGTTCTACCCTCATTGTTATTTGAAAATGGGGTCTTTGAGAGGTGATTAGGTTTAGAAAAGGTCGTGACAGTAGGGCTCTCTCAATGGGATTAGTGCCTGTCATAGCATAACCCCAAATGTGATGGTATAAGGAGGTGGGGCTTTTGGAAGGTAATTAGGTCTAGGTGAATATGATAGTGGTATCCACATTTAGGGATCATCCTACCGGAGCTCTCTCTGTTATATGAGAACACAGCTACTTGCAAGCCAGTACTTACCAAAACCCAATCATTCTGGCTTTCTGATCACAACTTAAGATCCCCAACGGTAAGAAAAAATTTCTGTTGTTGAAACCACCCGATCTATAGTATTGCTGTGGTGGCCCAACACACTAAGACAAATGGACAAGTAAAATGTATGTGATTTGGACTAACTATATCTGAGCCAGTTGGCTAAAGAAAGGAAACATTTGTAACAGGCAATCAATAAAAACATGTTTACTCTCTCTGATACCTTAGTACCAAAAGAACAAAAGCTGTTTTAGAGTATGAATTCATGAATATGGCCTATTCATTTTCAAGCTCATTTAGAGATGAGGACAGAGATATAGCATAGCTGTTAAATACATGGGCTCTGGAATTCGATAGACTCGATCAATCCCTTATTAGCTGTTATGATTTTGAACAAGTTACTTCATCTTGCTGAGTCTTAGTTTCCCTATCTGTAAAAGGGAAGAAAACAAGATTGCCTAACTTGGTTGTTAATGACACTTAAAAGAGAATAATCATACAAAGCACTTTAACAGTGTTCCTAGAACATAAAGTGTGCTCAAGTAATAAAAAAAAATATTGTCTAGGGCTCTTTGCAGTTAAGCGTAGGTATACCTGGTAGCATTCCAGAAAAGTAATTCAATTTGCTCGTAGCCAAAGTAAATTCAAATAATTAATTTAGACAAGGTTGAGCCTTGGTCAATGGGAAATACAGAACATTTATCTGTGGGCATTGAATTACTGTGCATCAGAGGCTTTCCTTTAGGTTTCATAAACTTTTCCTATGTAGGTAGTTGAAAGCAGAGACAAAGTGACCATGTTAATAAATATTTGGTTCCCTTTGGAGTTCTGGGGCATGAGAATCCATAATGAAAATCTGTTACAAGATTGATTTTATTATACATCTAGACCCTAAATATTTAGAAACTGAGCGTATTTTTAAGGCTCCTCAAAAAAATTAAAAACAGAACGACCATATGATCCATTAATCCCACTACTGGGTATAAACCCAAAGGAAAAAATCAGTTTACTGAAGAAACATTTGCACTCCCATGTTCATTGTAGTACTATTCACAATAGCCAAGAAATGGAAACAATGTAAGCATCCATCATCTCATTACTGTGGTTTTTTTTTTTTGCAGTACTGGGTTTTGAACTCAGGGCCTCACACTTGCTAGGCAGATGCTCTACCACTTGAGTCACTCCGCTAGTCCTCAACTCACGAATAGATAAAGAAATTGTGGTACACATACATCATTGAATACTTTTCAACACCATGGAATACTCTTCAACCATAAAAAGAGTGAAATGCTGTCATCTGTGACAACATATATGAAACTGGAAATTATGTTAAGTGAAATGTAACAAGTGAAATAAGCCAGGCACAGAAAGAGAAATATTTTATGACCTTATTTACATGTGTAATCTAAAAACACTGATTTTGTAGAAGTTGAGGGTAGAATGGTGATTACCAGAGGCCAGGGAGAGTATGTTAGGGGAGGGATGAGGAAAGGTTGATCAATGGGTGCTAAGTTACAGTTAAATAGGATAAAGAAATTATGGTGTACTACTGCACAGTAGGGTGACTATAGCTAACATATTGTACTGTAGACTTCAAAATGCTAGAATAAAGGATTTGGAAGGTTTTACCATAAAGAAATGTGTATGTTTGATGAGACATGTAAGTTTAACTATGATTTAGACATGTACCAATATATATTACTCTATTAATATGTACAATTTTATGTTTTTATATCTCAGTTAAAATATTTATTTAAAAAAACAAATTGAACAAATTTTTCAAAACCTTGAAAAATACAGATTTCTTTTAAGTTAAAAGAGCGGTGGAAAATGCCAAATAATCTCAAATGGACCACTATTTAAGTCCTTAGGGAAGGCTTTAACGTGTAAGAATAAAATACCTGCAAACACAGAATATAAATTACAGGAAATGGAGCATTCTTGAAAGCAGCTATTATTTACATCTGTACCAATTTAAAAATGTAAGAAACTGATGCATATTCTTACTTTTTAAGGCTTCTAGTGCTTTTAGGAAATTCATGCAACAACTTCTTACGATATTCTATCAACAATTCATGTAACCGATCTTCCTTCCTTTCACTTTCTTCAATGGTTTTGGTGGTCAATTCCAAGAGCTCAGTGCCGGTTTGGAAAAGGCGGCAGGCATAGCATGTGGATTTGGCTGTCTCCATCTTGTCTCCAGTAAGCACCCAAACTTTCAGGCCGGCTGCATGCAGAGCTTCAATGGTTTCTGCAGCTTGATCCTGTAGCCTGGAAACACAAGGAAACCTTGTTAACCTCTCAAATTCATGACAGAGATTCTTCAAGATGACTTGCTAAAGAGAACACTTTTTAAATTCACAGCAATTCTAAAGCCCTGACAACTTATCACCACTGGTTTCCTTACATATATTTTGTTCTTTCTGAGAGTAATGTCTCTGACAAAATATTGCTTATTAAAGGGAATTACAAACAATGAAGTTCAGAAAAAGTCCATGATATCTCTTAAGGAAATTGGTATCAATGACAAAACTGAGAATTATAACTCTAAGGTAAAAATGTTTGTATTCACTGTCATTTTAGCATATTCCATTGTATGTTACATCTCACCATGTAAATTCTTAACCTGGCTCAAAACAGGAAGAGCCAAACATATCCTAATCAGATATTGAGGAAAGTTAGTGAATCCCCATTCTTGAGGAACCCCTTAAGAATACGAAATCCAACTATCCAGAATCTCTGAAAAGGAAGACGAATGGTTCTTTCTTTGGGTTCTTTTTGACCATAGATTATCGATGAAACTAGAATAAATGAATTTTACTACAATTTCAGTACCTTCCAAGGTAGCTAAATACATGTCTATAACTTTTTGTTTGGTTAAGTCTCATATTTCGTATTTCTAATTCTTAGAAAAACTCCTGAAATATTTAGAATCTAATACTTTTGCTTCCAGCAGATCAATGTCAAAGTCCTACAATCATGTCTGGCAGAGCTCAGCCTATATATTTAAAGCATATTATTTTAAAGCATGCAAAAACATACTCTGGCTTGTTAAATCAGGTTACATTAAGTTCTTGTGCCATTTACTGTACTTTGAATTTCCTTGCTGTTTCCTTGCTGTTCATCTGTCTGTCAAGATCATACCGCTTCTTCCAGGCACTAGCTCAAATGATAGTGGTAATACCCCTCCCTACACATGGCAAGACTATTTCCTAAATGTCTGCATGTATGGATGACTTAGCAAACAAGCAAAAGATCTTAGTGATAACTGACTCACTCTTCTAAGTTACATATATTTAACTTAAAAACCATTCACACAAATAGTTCAAAATCTGGTATAACTTTTCATACTTGCTAAAATAAATGAATCTTCAAGTCCATTTAGACAACAAAGCTAAATCAATGATTTCAAAACATGGGAATAAATTACTAATTTGGGACAAAAACCACCCTAAATAGTAATTAAAATAGTAACAAGAGTATCATTTTCTAGTTACTTGTCTTCCACTGCAGTGGCTCCAATTAAATTCATGTTTGTCTCAATATCATCAAAAACCCTTTCCATCTTTTCTTCTCTGTCTTGTAAGGCCATTTTTGCCTCTATTAGCTGTCTGTTAATTCTCTCATAATCATCTGGAGTAATTTCTTTGAAGGCTACACAGAGTGTCCGATACCCATCCTAAAAGCAAAGCAGAAGATCTATCATTATCTCAGTAATAGCTGAAAAACACCAAACTCTTTTTTTTAATAGTCTTGCTTTATCCATATATACTAAAGAGAAATTCTGACACATTTAATTTACAAAAAACAGATTGCAACTAAAAAGGTAATATTAAATTAGGCTCAGAATAATAAAATAGTAACTGTTTTAACAAAGATTCTTAAAGTCTTCAACATTGCCAATTCTGACCAGAACACTGTTCCAGAATTTTTATATTAATATAAGAAAATCTTCAAATACAAAAAAATGGACCACAGAATCAGCTAAAATTCATTTTAGCACCCATTTAAATCGCAAAATAAACATGGGTCATCTCTAGCATTTCTCTATTTACTTATTAGAGGAAGGGTGTAGGCTTACCACTGCATTACGTTCCACATGGACTTTAGTTAATTCTATTTCATGGTTTTGCACCCTGGGAAAAACTGCTGAGTCTGCTCCTTTACAAAAAAGAAGTATGTCTCCTAAAATAAAGACCCAAAGTACTCAACTTAGAATTTGAAGACTGGTATTGAAATTTTAATAAGAGATAACTCTTAAGGTGACCTCTCCCATATAGTTTCTGTGTATTCCAAGTCTGCGTTGCAACATTCATCCAAATGGGAAGAGAAATCTGGAGCTTTAGTCATCTCACCACCTCTTCAGACCATTATGGACGCAATAAGTAAGAGTTTACAACATGTACCTCTATTAAATATAGTTTGTCTCACTGAATCATGGAGGACTGAGTTGTTGTGAAGGATTGACAGCTGAATTTTATGTGAAATGCAGTCAGTCATGTCCTAGGGTGCACAAAAGATATCTATGGATGCCAAGAACCAACTCAAGCTCATGTATGCTGAAATCATTATGAATAAACTATACAAGTTAGCCTTTGAAACACTGGCTTGATGGATTTGACTAGGAACTTGAAAAAAGCTTTGTAGAATGCTGGTATAATTATATCTTTGGATCAGTTTATGCACTGAAATATTCACAGTTGAGCACTAGAAGACACTTTATCTTTGATAAGGCAAAGAGCTGAGTCAACAAATTAAGAAGTATAGCTCTGAGGTCAGTGACCTTTGCAGACCATTTCCCCAGACATTTCGTTACTGCTGTAAAACATACATGCAGATGTGCACACAGAAGAGCAGTGAGTATTTCAAATGTTAAATACTCGTTTCATTTTCTCTCACATATCCAAAGTGTTCAAAAGTCATAAATTTTGTGGTCATATAAAAAATCAATTTCATGACTTTGTAGTCACATTACAAAATATGAATAAAGTGGGATATGTTCCTCTAAATCTTTGTTTGCATACTCAAATTCTCCCATATTAAAGAATTTGGAGCCAAATCCTGGGAATCACTGACCATGTCATGTCAAACAATGTAAGTCTCTAGTCTTCTAACTTTCCAGAATCACATTTTCCCCAAATTAATACCAATTTTTAAGAGCCCTTTGTTCTGGGCATGGTGGTACACACCTGTAATCCCAGCACTTAGGAGGTAGAGGCAGGAGGATCATGGGCCAGCCTAGGCAACAGGGCAAGATCCTGTCTCAAAAAAAAAAAAAAGAATTTGGAAAAGATCTAATACTAAAAAGTAAATGGCTGGGGAAATTAATAAAGGATATTTTGAAAATAAACCTCCTGGGCAAGAAAAAAAAATGCATGTGCACACACACACACACACACACACACACACACACACACACACATATGAGAGCCTGTGAATGAAATAGGAGCATCATTCTGAAGACCTTATGGGTCTTTCAGAATCTGAGCAGTAGACAAACCACCATGGTGCCTCCCAAAGACATGGGGGAGCATGGGATGTTGGTACTGTTTCCCTTGTAAAGAGAAAGCTTTACTCTGTCAAACAAAGAGTCCTGAGCTCTGGAATGAAGCCATAATGCCCTTTCCCAGAAGCCTGGCTTAGTCATCTCTACTTCGTCAGCTTTCAGGGAGGGTAAAGCAGTAGAAAACCTAAAAAGGTCAGGGAGGATAGCCATCCAACATTATACTCTAGGCTTCTGTTGCAGGTAATCCCAAACCACTCAACTATACTGAGCTGCTGTCTCAGTAAAATCACATTATAACTACCATACTGTAACTTTATCAGTGGTAACAAATAATGACTATGGTTTGTGGTACCTACTAAATATGCACTGTTGAGCACTAAGAAATGGGTATTCTGAATGTATTCACAGTTGAGTACCATGAACTATATAAAAATCACCTTTTTAATTCCTGATGAATTAAAAAGCAGAGGCATACTGTTTCATTTCCAAGATAATGTATTTATTGTCACACCAGGGGTTCTGCCATTGACAATTTGGCAAGCTGAACATATACTACTGCTTTGCAAGAATAGCTAATCTTACACTACTATGTGAAATGTTTCTCTTACCTGAAATAGTTGATGAACATATAAACTCCCAAACAGAAATAAAGTCAAGTTTTTAAGATGCATACCTCCTTGAGTCTTCACAATTACACTCATACGTCGGCGGACAGCATCAAAGTTTAAGGTGTGGAGAAGTTCATACCTTTAATGGAAGAATTATGAAAAAAAGTAAAAATACCTGGACCACACTGAGAAAAATAAAACACAATAGAAACAACATCTTAAATGAACAGACAATTCTTTTTGGGTAAGGATAGCTAAGCATGTACATAAATGGTATTTTCCCTTTTCTTCTTTAGAATTTCTCTGCATATAGAACCTGATACAGAGGATAGCAGTATTGGGTAAGGGGTATTTTTACTCTCTTGCTATGTTATTAAAACAGTAAGGAAATTGACTACTTAGGAATGGACAACAAGAAGTTGCCCCACCAAGTTATATCTGGAAAGGTCCAGGGGAACTATCATCTCAGAGTGCCTACTGTGGGCCACGCACTGTGCTAGGGGTTGGGGAACTGAAATGAATCTGCCTGAGTCCCTTCCCTCAAGAAGCTCAGCATATGAGGGAGACAAAGGGTAATGAGATAACTATACTCCCAGTCTATCAAATATAGATATAAAAGCACTCACAAGGGAGAGTGGAGAACACAAAAGAAAGCCATCTGAAGGAAGATTTCTTGGAAGAGGCCATGCCTGAGCTGGGTTCTGCAAGAATGATATAAAAAAGAAAGGGGGCCATGGCTTTCTGAGTAGAGGGAAGAGCATGTGTAAATGCACAGCCACATGGCAGCACATGGCCCATGGGGGACTAAGCCTGGAAAACTCATTGATAGGGGAGTCACAAAAGACAAAGCAAGAACGGTAAGCTGGAAACTGAGAACTCTGGAGGTTGTTTCAGGAACTTGGCATTTTATCTTAAAAACAATAGAAAGCTATGAAGGTTTTAAAGAGTAATATGATATTATGAGATTGATCAAATTTGTATAGGGATGGCTGAACTATTAATCATATACAGAAGAGTTAAAATAAGAGGTAATTAATAGAAAAAGCATAAGGGATTATTTTCTTGAAAACAAAAACCCATTATATACATATATTTAACACTAAAATATTTACATCTTATTTTGGGAGAGAATAAGTAGGGTCACTGATTTTTGTTGGGGAGGGGAGCAGTGTGTAAGATATCTAATGTAGCATTTTATTTGATGTTAGCCAGACCGGGCACTGTTGTGGACTGGCTAGACTCTAGACTCTGACCATGATTCCAGGTCCCTTGCAGTCAGATCAAAGAGCCTTTCTCTGGGCTTCTGAGCATCCCTTCTCAAGTGCCTCTACACGTATTATAGGTTTCTGAGATGGATCTCATGGGATCCTAGGGCCAGAATAGAAGTCAGATAAGATAACTGCATCTCAAGTTCAGATGAAGGAATTCAAATTAATTACAGAGTCTATTTAAAATCTGCCATTAAGTCAAGTCAGTTTTGTTCCTTGGGGATCTTTGTAGCAAGACAGGAAATGCCAAGACACTGATGAATCATGGGACTTGCCATGAGGCTCATACTTGAGTATCTAAGAATAAGACAAAGGTTTTGGTGAACACCAAAGCTACAAATATTGGTTGGGCTTGCAATCCCAGAGTGATTGCTTAGGCTCTGGACAGCAGACAATTTCAGGCATGGTTCCTTATTTTTTCTTTTATAATGTGCTAGAGAACTAAAATGGCATCTAAATTTCAGAAACAGTTCAGGAAGATTCCCATTCTGACTACTAAACCCATATGTCAAACAAATTGGAACTTCTACTGCAAACCCCAGTTTCTGCCATTCAATGAAAAGTGTCTACTCTAACTACATTTATACAAAACTCTGAACTTGGAGAGAACAGTTTTATATTTATTTGTTAACCAGTTTCCTTTGTTGCCCTTCCTGAATTCATTTAAAGCTGACTGTGGGGTTAGGAAGTAACAAACATCAAAACACAGAGCTACTTACTCTTCTATTTCTTTCCTTTGGTTTTCTATTCTCATAAGTCCATTCTGATTTCCTAAAAATGTGAATCCGTACCTATCAAAAATAATAAAAGGCCTTTGTGTATCTCTATGGAGTAATTCATGTCCATTTACATTGCTTGTTAATTCTTTTTTTGGCATGTGATCAAAATCTACAATTGCATTTCCCTTTTCTGGATGAGTTAATAACACAGAACAAGTCGATTCCCAGCCACAATCACTGTAACCAATGGAGAGACAATTGTTAATTTCAATTTTGTAGCTAAACTGGGTAACCTTTTAGCCATGAAATCATCTTGGGCCTCATGGGTGAAACTGGACTGTCCATTATCAAATGATGTCAAAATTGCTGGGAGTACTTCAGAAATAAAATATGTTATACAAAAAGTAGCCACTGTTATGTGATTTGTAAGGTATAATACAAAAATATGAACTTGTTGCTGGCATTCATAAATAAGGCAAGTTATATCAATGTAGCACTAATTTGTTTTTGCACCTTAGGTTTGGAAATTGCTTAGGTTTGGAAAATTCTCATGAACTTTTTTGATAGAGCAGTTTGGCTTTTTAGTAAATAATAGGAGAGGTACACGAAAGTCTCTTTGAAGCAAAAGAAAAAAAAAACCCAAATAAACTCTTGTCCTCCTGTGGTTTTACTCTCTCAGAAGTACAAGATGTGCTTACTTTTTAGCTCCTTTTACCAAAGCTATTTCATCTGGTGAGGAGGAGATATAGGTTAATTCAGCTGATTCTGTAGCTCCATCAACAGCATCATTTGCTTTAATTTCTACAGTATGACATAAACATAAGGCACGTAGAAAGAGTTCTTCTCGATTCTGTTGAAGAGAAATAGAAGAACAATTGCATTTTTACTCTTATCACTAGGTAACTGGGCAGTAAACAGACAAACTATATTAATGTGAGAGAATGTTATAACCTCTAATAAACTAAGTAATGGAAATTAATAAATTCCTAATACTCACATGAGCACCTAGCACCTAAAAGAATTCCCGGTTCTTAGCTAGCATTCCTAGAGGCTATATTAACCCATGCTGGTTATTGTAGTGCCCTCATTCAGGTTATTACAGTGCCACCTAAACCAAGGCAGTGACTTCTTCATGGCTTAAAAGAGTTCAGTATCTAATTCACAATCCAGCAATGGCTTAGGTGTAGGAAGACTTTGGTTCATTTAATGCCTAGACATCTACTCCTGGAACTTAAATGATGTGAACAGACATCATTCCTGGAAGAGCTTGTATTTTTAAAAGACTATGATCACACAAATATGCAAACAAAACTTTTAGTCAAGTACCATTTTCCATAGTTCTCTCCATTTGTAAGTTTTGCTTGTTTAGAAATTCCAGAGGCGTTAGTAAAACAAGAAAGGTAAAGCTCAAAGAACAAATAGTTATTCAAAAGTCTGTGTTATGTACCTACTAGAAAATTCTTTATTTCTACTATTTAAGGGTAACATGCCTATATAGTTAGCTGCTCAGGTAAAATAGTAATGCAGAAAATATCACCTTATCTGCTTTGTCAACATATGTTAATGGTCCATCAGTCTCAGACAGTCCATCAACTTTCTGAGTTACATCTTTGTATCTGTGTCCATCTATGCAGCATTCAATGAATTCCATGCTATTTTCAGTGAGTGTTCCAGTCTTATCTGTAAATACATAATCAACCTAAAAACAAAGATACGAACATATACATGTTCCTTCAGTATGATTAGTGTTTAGTTAGCTATAAAGCAGGTCTATTTTCAGACCCATAGAAAATCACCTCTTCTAAGACTTCTTGTCAAATGTTAGGAAATTATGAAATGAATGAGCACTAAAATAGTATCATATGTGTAAGGTAGACTTACTCAAATGTAGAAGACTATGTAAGGAAGGAAAATGTGACTGTTTTATCACATTAAGAACCTTTCAATGTAACCCTTTACTTTAATCTGTTTTTATGTATAGAAGATTCCTTAAAAAATCAATTTTCCAAGGGGGAAACAAAAATACACTGAGCACATATCTCTCTTTCACTCCTTTCCTCCCTTTTCATGGGATGGCATGTACATAACCCAATGAAAAAAACTAATAGAAACTTAACTGGGATGTAACAAAATAAAACAAAAACTGATAGCAGTTCTCTCCACCTTCAAAAGTATAATTTCTATAAAAATACTAGATTAAAACCAAATGTATCACATAATATAATGAGCATAGCAATAGAATATATACAGACAGGAAATTAAATATTAACAGCTACCTAATTAGGAGATACAATAGGTCAACAGTGATAAAAACATAACAGAAATTTCTTTCCACATATTATACATATTTTTCAGATACTTCTCAAAAAAGTTATCAAATTAAACACAGCAAAGTTTACAATAAGTTAAAGTAAAATATGTAAGTATATTTTCATAAATAATGGAAAAAAAACCTATGAAATAAATTTTCCATTAAAATAGACCATTTTGAGCATTTCCATTTTATCTCAGTTTTTATCTCTTCTATTTATAACATCTGGGTTTTGGAAACCTACAATTTTGTCATCCTTTTGGCAAGTTATGCCTAAATAGTTAAAATTACTGGTTGACAGGAACAAGCATAAGCACAAGATTAAGGTTTTTATTATGTAAAGAAGAAAGAGATGAACTACAGCAGTAGTTGCTTTCTAATTATTTTTCAAAGCTTTTCATGTAGCAGCACTGGCACAAATATAGCATTCTGATCTTTTTTTCCTATTAGTCAGCCAAGTTTGAATTCTCTCTTTAAGTTAATGCAAGTGGTACTATTCATGTATCATTTAGATTTTTCCAGTTTAAAAGAAATCCTTTGGGGCCTTTTTTTTCCCTGATCAAAATTATTAACTTTCAGTTGGACACTGGTGACTCACACCTGCAATGCTACCTACATGGGAGGCTGAGATTGGGAAGATCATGGTTCGAGGTCAGTTAAAGCAAATAGTTCATGAGACCCCTATCTTCAAAATAACCAAAGCAAAAAGGACTGGAGGTGTGGCTCAAGCGATAGAGAGCCTGCTTTGCAAGTATGAGGGCCTGAATTCAAACTTCAGTCCCACCAAAAAAAAAAATTAACTTTCATTTTCCTGTGAAGGTTGTCCTGGGTTGTTTCACATCCTGCATTTGGGTATTAGCCCATTCAGAATCTCTCTTATTAGTATCAAAGGTGGTAGCACAATTCATACATGGAACAGTTTGGGCAGTCTAGGTCTGCAAACATTGAATCTCACAGGTATAGGCCAACAAGGTATACTGAAAGCAGAATAGCATGCATCACAGGCACTGGAAGGGCTTGTTAGAACTCAAAGTGCTACACTATTCTCTAGAGGTTCTGATTCAGTAGGTCTGAGGTGGGGCTGGATAATTTGCAATTGTAAGTTCCCAGATATGTTGATGATGTGGTACTTTTTTTTCCCAGATATGTTGATGATGTGGTACTAGGAACAGACTTACAGAATCATTGTCCTAGTATAGGCCATATATCAGGAAAAGAGGGGAGGCGGCAGCTGTGATTCATATAAAAAAAGTATTCTCATATTTAAAGGATGCAGGGATAAAAGGAAAGACTACAGCTTAACTCTACCCCACAAGCAGCCTCATCCTCTTTAATGATAGGTTTGAGCTTGCTGAAAAAGCTCCTTTATCACAGCAAGTTCAACCTCATCATTTTGTAGATGGAAAGTCTAAAGTGACTGTGATAATTGCACAATACATATTTGGTTTGCTTCCCTGTTTCCTGACACACATCTCCTAAAACACTTGGAAGTTCCAGAGTGATAAGACTGTCTTTCATATGTTAATGAAATGAATGGTAACTGAGGTCTCCCAGATAACTTCATGAGTGGGACAAAAGAAGTGTTCCTGCTAGATATTCTTTTTTTTTGGTGAATCCAAGGAAGGGCACAAGAAACAATAACATTTATTTATTTACTTATTTTTGCTATGCTGGGAATAGAACCCAGGGCCTTACAAATGCGAAACATGGGTTTTATCACTAAGCTACAACCCCCCCTCCCAAAGTAACTATGGTTTTAAACCCTCTGTCAGAATTTCTAAGAGCCTTCTGGAGGTCAGTCATATCTTTTTGAATGTGGCTATACTGCCTGGAGGTACAGACAGCCCACTACCTCTCTGTGTAAAAATACCCTACCTGAATGGCCCTATAGTGAGGGAGAGTTCCTGCATTAGTGCCTCCAGTCTAGACAAAGGAGATACGTTTGGATATAAATAAACAGAAGGACAGCTACGCACCAGTGGCTCACACCTGTAATCTTAGCTACTTAGGAGGCTGAGATCAGGAGGATCACAGTTTGAGGCCAGCCCAGGGAAACAGTTCATGAAACCCCCACCTCTAAAATAACCAGAACAAAATGGACTGGAAGTGTGGTTCAAGCAATACAATGCCTGCTTTGCAAGCATGAAGCCCTCAGTTCAAATCCCAGTCCCACCAAACAAAATAAAGAGATGGAGGAACCATAATTGAGGGTAAAGGAATGAATAAATGGGTTATGCAATGAGGGAAATCTAATACCACATTAACACCTTAAAAGGGACTCGGCAAAAGATGATAGCATCTCTTAGGGCTCAATTATACCAGATGCCTAAAACAATGAAGCAGCATGTTTTCCTAAACTACTCTGAGTTTGGAACCAGACAAGATTAGAATGTAAGTCTGTACACCTCAGTGGTCTCAACCTGGGAGACATTTTCAACGATGGACTAGACTAAAATTATTGATTGAAGAGGATTTTAATAATGTGCCAATATCTGTTGGGTTGTATATATTTTATGTAAAGGATTGGTGTTTGAACATGAGGATATACTGTGATTTTATGAAACATTATTTGATCTTCATCCAGTATCCTACCATACATCCAAAAACCCTTGAAAATTTCCAGAGATAAGAGCATCTTCTGCATGCTAACAGGGACCCTAGATAGCTTCTTGATATAGACAGGTTACTAGGAAGATTAAAGGCATGATTAGACGGCTAGAACTTTCAGCTCTACCTCATAACCTCTGGGGGAAGGGTTGAAGTAAATGGTAAGTTGATCACCAATGGCCGTTATTTGTGTATGTAATGAAATAATGAAGCTTCCATGAAAAACCCTTTAAAAATGGATTTAGAGAACTTTCAGATAGCTGATAATGTACGTTTCTGGTGGGTGGCAAATCTGGAGAGGACACAGAAGCTCTACAACCCCTTCCCACATACCTTTGTCCTATACATATCTTCCATCTGGCTGCTTATCTGCATTCTTTGTCATACCTTTTACAATAAAGTGGTAAACCTAAGTTATGTTTTCTTGAGTTTTGTGAGCCAATCTAGCCAATTAATGGGATCAAGGAGGGGGCCATGAGAACCTTGATATATAGCTGTCTGTTCAGAAACACAGGGTACAAGTCATGTTTACAATTTGTACCTGAAGTAGAGGCAATATTGTGGGACTTAATCTTCAATCTGCGTGGGATCTTATGCTATCTCCGGGTAGACAGTATCAGAATTAAATTGGAGTCCACTAGAAAATTGTTGTATGTGGAGATATCCCCTCCACTACCACATCTTATGGCAGGAGTGTTGTGTTGAATGACTGTGTGAGAACATTGAAGAAAAAATTTCAGCATTTTTTTCTCTATCTCTTAGTGATGTAGTTACTATAGGATATAAAGAACTCTTAACTATAAGTTAAACACATGAAGCTGCCTATTTTATAAGTCAACATTGGTAAGAATTTTTCATATAGTTTAACCAAAAGGAAGACTTGGACAGGAGCCTTGGCTCCACCATTTACCAACTTGGTGACCTTGGGAAAATCTCTTCATTTTTCTGAATTTTAAATATTAACTTTAAAGAATAATACCTGTTACAGAAGGCTATAAAGATTAAAAAAACAAAGCTCAATAATAAATATGTTCTGTAAACTATAATGTGCTATATAGACACTGACTGTCATTGCTGTTGACCAAAAATCACTGTTCTAGACTCTTTCTATTGCCCCACATTCCCTAATTTTTCTGATCAATTATGATCACACTGTGATAGTTAAGTCTGATATGTTTCTCCAAGTAGATGCTGAACAATTTGAGGGCTTCTTGTTTACTTTACAATAGTAACCTCGGTACCTAGAATATATCCCAAGTACGCAAAAGCCGAATAAACAGCCACTAGATTGAATTATTGGAATCAGTATATACTTAGATGATACAGTCAAATGATTAGACATAGCCACAAGATTGAGAGTCGATATGAAAGAGAATGCTAGGACCATAAACTTTTCAAGATAAATTGGCACCATATGGTTGTATAAAAGATTGGTAGGTGATCATAAAGACCCCACTATTTTTCTAAAAGAGCCTAGCAGTCTACTTCCTTTTGTTTCTCACAAACACTATCCTAAACATATATTTCTATTCTTTTTTAAATACCATGGACCACTTTTTAAAGAGGTTAAGGAAATATTTGTCATGGCCTTGATGGAAATGAATTGATCTTACCTTAATATAGAAAGCCCTATAGATCTTAAATTATGACTCATCAAAGAGGAAACTGGTTACACTTAATTTTGTATGTATTGGTCCATTGAATGCTAAATGGTCTAAAAAACTATTTTAAGACTTCTTTCCATTTTCATTCAGGTAGTTTCTACACATAGAAGTTGGTAATAATGGAAACTTGTTTAGACACTGTATTAACTGAAGTGGTGATCTACTATTAACTTAGTGATTTGGCTAAATGACAACTACACCCAGAAATGCAGGGTTTGGTTTGAGAAGGGAGTAGTAGCTAAAACAAAAACTTAACTTCTTTTCACTGATCAAATTTACCAGATCATTACTTTATTTTCTGCAGTCTAGATGATAAGAGCAAGACTGTATTTCTATAGGTAATATGGAACCTGCTGAAGTGAGAAAGAGATAAGAGTCCTATCAAGTGGAACCTGGCCTGAGCATCCTTTCTGTCTCTGGGGAGTGTTAAGTATCACCTATGTGATGATGGCTATTAGATTGAGGCTAGCTCCAGGCTAGCTATGCTCACCCCTGGGTAGGTTAATCTATACAACCAGGCACTGATAGAACAGGACATTTACTCAGTATCTAGAGTGAGATGCTAAATCAGCTGTCATGAAAAGGGTCACCAGAGGTGGCTTGTATAAATTTTTTTTCATGCAAAGAACCTTTAGACTGATGCCTTTTATTGAGACTAGAGTAGTTTTATTCAGCTCTGTCGCTGGATGCAAATTTGGGGCTTAAAAGGGTTAGGATCAGCTGTGGCAGTTCAACTCACCAATTAAAGAATCTACTGGGAATAGTAGCTAAAGGAAAAGCCATTGGTTCACTCATTTCTTGTTCTATTCTTAGTGTCTCCAATATTTATGTGGAATGCAGACTCCAAGGTCTGAGCTACTAATGACCTGAACTCATAACAAAATGATATCTGAAATGACCTTTCTTCCTTTCAACTGCAGCAAAGGAGTACTTTGGTTTAGGCAAAGGCTGTATCAAGAGCAGAAATAAGAGACTGGAGCAGCAGTGGGAGGGCTATCTTGAGGGAGAGAGTTTGAGCATCGATGCAAATCAGTACCATTTAAAACAAGTGTGAGGCCCTGTTCCTACCAAATTTCATTAAATGAATTTGCATTTCCCAGCCCCAGAAATGACATTTCCACAGCCCTGATACTCTAAATACCATGCGAATTAAATGCAAGCCAAAAAATTCCAGTGGCTTATAAAGATCATTACATGACAGAATACATTCAGACAAAGGGAAATACTTCCTTAACACTAATGAGAAAAGTACCTAAGAAGTCAACATTTGGATTATAGATAGACTGCATCACATGAGAGAATAAATGCACCTGGGTTAGAAACAAGGTCACAGTCTTGGTCACAGTACGTAAGGCAAAAAGCATTTTGAGGAGTGCATGCTTCAAATTTTCCCTTCATTTAAATTCTTGTACCAAAAAACAAACAACTCAGCTTGATAGGTCTATATTCCATTTGATCAGCAATGTACAAAGAAAATGTCATTAGGACAAGTCTGGTCAATTTTGTTTATGGAACAACATGCATTTATATAAGAGCTATATTTACTACCTTGTATTCTATCCACAAATGATTATAGATAGTAATGAAGACCACATGTTTCCAATTTCAAAGCAGTAACTCACAATCTATAACAACATCACTTGGTGAATTTTAAAAAGAATTTTTGTAACATTCAAACTTAATATACAATTGCATCCTTCTTAAAAATGCCAGCAAAAAACCCCTGATGCAATAGGTATGAAAACACTGCTTCTTTATTACATGTTTACATAAAAGAATTTTCTTTGAATCACATTATCACATTCCAAACGTGAAATGGTGAGATATATTGATAATCCAGACTATGAAAAATATATTTTCACTATGATAACTTATTTTAATCAAAAATGTGTTCTAACCTGACCAAGTTCTTCATTAAGATCTGATGTGTTAACCAAGGCTCCTTCATTAATTTCTTCATCAAAAAAGTCCTTATCCCATGAAATGAAGAACGAACCTAAGAATTTCTGCATTTCCACTGTGACATACATGGAGACAGGAATGATAAAGTTGAATAGAACCATAAAAGATAGGAAGTCGGTGAACATTTTCAAAACCTAAAATATAAAAGAGTTCATGCTAATTAGATGCACAGATTCATCAGATGATTATAATATAAAAAACAGTAAGCTTTTTTTGTTTCAATGCTTAAGGCACTGTTTTTGCTATAAATTTCTCAATGACACCATATTATTGTAGTCAAAATTATCACAGAATGTGACATTTAAGAACACTCTCAATGTTATCATTATTCTTCAAAGTATATTAACTGTACTCTAATATATTTTCATTTCCTTAGTTCTCTTCTCTCTCCATCCCTAGATATGAACATGTGATCAAAATTTATATGTAGATATCCATTATGCTCATATCTTAAAGCTCTTATTAAAATACCAGAGATCTTGCCAAATTGTTTCAAATTGAAGAGCTAAAAGCAAGCAAAGATGCCTAAAGTAAAATTTTTAAAAAATCTAAAACTTCTTAAATCTTTAATGGCTTACGGTCATCATACAACCAAAAAGAAAAAAGGGAAGCTAACAAAATGTATCACTTCTCTGAGCAGTGCTTCAACAAAGGGTGGCTTGGTCACAAACTCTTAAGAGTTACAATTTTCAGTAGAAAACAAATTACCTTCAAAGTCTCCCGCTCTTTCTGAGTCTTTTGGTTATACCAAGGTTCATCATTGTGTGGAGTACTTTGCCAAACATACTTTAGAGTAGTACATACTGCAGCTTTGGTCAATAAGATGAACAAATATACAATCAAGAAGGCATTAATAGATCTGAAAAATAAACACAGTATGGATTTTAAAACCACCTGATTATGTAAGACATCAACTAAATATGAAGTTATCTGAAGCCTCTCATATGTATGATATGCAATCACAGCATAAACCTTTATCTGTGAACCTCACCTATCACCACTGCAGACTCAGTGACAAAATGGAAAAGCTAGCTCTGAACTGTTTATTGACCACTGTTTCCCAAAGTGCAATGCCCAGCTAGGTGCTAAACACACCTTTAGTAAGGTTCTCTAAATTGACAGGAAAAAGACATGAACACACACACCTATTCAACCTTTATAGAAGGAGTAGCTTTCTACATATCCCTGAATACTAAATTTTTGAGACTGAGGATGAGGTAGCAAATGTGAAATTCTCAAGCTTAGCAAATATGATCTCTCTGCATGGTTTGCAAATAGAGCTCGGAGAAGGTACCATTGATATACTGGGTATCAATGCCTATGACAGAAGTCCCTGCTGGTGGCATCTGGCTTGAAGATCTACTGGGTAGCACTTTAATACTTGTTAGGAAACCACAGTCTACGTTGAATTATCAACATGCATATAGCAAGTAAGGACCACAAACCATCAACTCCAATAATAAAAGGGAACAAACTTATAGTTTAAGTAAACTCTGCCTATTTCCTAGCCTATATTTCTTGGTCTGTAAAGTGGACAGGGTAGCATAAATTACTTCACAGAGTTATTCAGAGGATTAAATCAAGTCAAACATATAAATCATTGAGGAGAGTTTCGGAACAAAAACAAGTGCTCAAAATGGTAGCTGCTATTGTAATTGAAGTTGGTTTTCTGTTATGGTTGTTATTTGGAACTACTGAACTACTACTTTAATCAATAATGACTAATGTATTATGGCACACACTAACTTTTCAACAGCAGAACGTTTCTGAGATTTCCCTTGGTAGTTCAAAGCCATTTTGGTTTCCATCCCAGTGTAAACAGCAACTCCTAAGGAATAATAGAATATAAGGAAATCTAGGTTACAAGTGAAATCGTCAACCAACTCCCTACCCATCTGGTTCTGTGAATTTAAGCCTATAAAATTCTGTGAATTTTCTTTTTAAAAAATGAAGAACAGTAGGGTAAAACAGATATTTTTTGGAGGTGGTTATCAGCGGGAGGGTGAGGGCATAAGGTGAATGAGGTGAATATGGTGGATGTATTTTTTATTCATATATGAAAATAGAAGAAAGAAAGCTGTTGAAATTGTTCTAAAAGTAGGGAGAGGGAGGAGAGAGAATGATGGGGGGTAACCTAACTAAGACATATTGAAGCACATATATAAATATCACAATGTATACTCCTGCATAACTATTATATGCTAATAAAAAAATCCATGAATTTTGTAGTATAAATTTTATAGTACAAATAATTTTAAAATACTTCATAATTCTATAAATTTGTCCCATTTTTTTAATCATCTTGCAAAATCCTAATACCTAAATATAGGTTTAGAATAAATGGCAATATCTTTCAGGCTCACTCTTTAATTTACATGTAATAGTTGTACAGGGGGAATACATTGTGATAGTTACATACGCTCCTATAAGATTCACCCCCCCTCCATCATTCTCTCTCACCCCTCTAACCTCATTTTAGAACAATTTGAAGTTCCATTATTCTATTTTCATACACAAATATAAAATACATCCACCATGTTTACCCTCCTTCACCCTCTCTGCTTACCCTCCCTCTAGTACCCACCCCCAGATAGAACTTGTTTTAACTTCATGTCCTTCATTTTTTATGTGTATATTGATTTTTCAAGGGGATTTTGCCTTTGTATTTCAGACATGTATATATTATGTTTTAATCAAATTAACCCCCTCTATTACTTTCTCTTTATACCCCCTTGCTCATGTTCACTTTTAAACATGCATTATTTATTCCCACGCTTTACAAAACATATTGCTGATAGGTAATATCTTAAAAATTGTTCACCATATATCTTCTTGGTATTTTTTAGTGTAGCTCCTTTCAGCAAGAGATTTTCAGGTCCCAAAGACCTAAATAAAAAAGTGAACATAGTTTATCCAAGTAACACATAGCATTATCAACTCTGGGACAGATCTTGCCCTGACATACATCCATCTCCAAGGATTTCAGAAGGCATCTGTCTATTTCTACCATATGCTTCCTCCTCAGGACAAGGTGAAAGATCCCTCCCTCTGAAGTGACTTGAGGGTATGGCACAGATGGACGCATAATACAGAAGTAGCAAGCAACACAGAGAGGTAAAGACATGCACAGAGGGATCAAAAGATTGAATCATGGATAGCAAGACAAGAATAAAGTAGAGCAGCAGGCAGTGAGAAACAGAAAGAGGGTCACAAAAGACTGGGAAGGCAACATTGTCAAGGTAGAGAAAATACACTAACATCTTTGTAGAGAGTAAACCCGCCTTCTGGGGGAATCACTGGGTACTCTGCATTTCGTTAAATTCTGTTTGAGTGTGACTATTTAAGACAAGAGGAAAAGTTGAGGTAATTAACTGGATGATAGAAGAGAAAGAAAGCATCCTTGTTTGTATGAACTGCCTCATTATAAATGATCAGTCTCTCATTATACTTAAATACAAGCAATTCTTCTAAAATATTTTCCACTGCCTAGTCCTTCAATTACTCTCCCTTAAACTGTTGTTCTCAAGATTTATTTCCAACCTTGTGAGCTACTTCACAATGAAGGAAAATAAATGCAATGACTAGACCTGGTTTGGTAATATTAACCAAAGTGTCCTGGAGCTCTGCTCTTTTGGCAACCCTAAGCATTACTTCAATAATCCCCTCTCCCCAACCCAAAGACCCTACCACCACAACCCTACCAATCACAAGGTTAGTTACTTATTAACCTTTATATCCCTTTCTTTTTTAAAAATTTTTATTTTATTCATATGTGCATAAATGTTTGGGTAATTTCTCCCTCCCCTCCGCCCCCCGGCTCCCCTCCCTTACTCCTTGCTACCCGGCAGAAACTATTTTGCCCTTATCTCTAATTTTGTTGAAGAGAGAGTATAAGCAATAATAGGAAGGAACAAGCGATTTTACTAGCTGAGGTAAGAATAGCTATACAGGGAGTTGACTCGCATTGATTTCCTGTGCATAGATGTTACCTTCTATGCTAATTCTTCTTGAACTAACCTTTTCTCTAGTTCCCTTCTCCTATTGGCCTCAGTTGCTTTAAAGTGTCTGCTTTAGTTTCTCTGCATTGAGGGCAACAAATGCTATCTAGTTTTTTAGGTGTCTTACCTATCCTCATATCCCCCTTGTGTGCTCTCACTTTATCATGTGATCAAAGTCCAATCCTCTTGTTGTGTTTGCCCTTGATCTAATGTCCGCATATGAGGGAGAACATACGATTTTTGGTCTTTTGGGCCAGGCTAACCTCACTCAGAATGATGTTCTCCAATTCCATCCATTTACTCGCGAATGATAACATTTCGTTCTTCTTCATGGCTGCATAAAATTCCATTGTGTATAAATAACACATTTTCTTAATCCATTCGTCAGTGGTGGGGCATCTTGGCTGTTTCCATAACTTGGCTATTGTGAATAGTGCCGCAATAAACATGGGTGTGCAGGTGCCTCTGGAATAACCTATGTCACAGTCTTTTCGGTATATCCCCAAGAGTGGTATTGCTGGATCATACGGTAGATCAATGTTTAGCTTTTTAAGTAGCTTCCAAATTTTTTTCCAGAGTGGTTGTACTAGTTTACAATCCCACCAACAGTGTAAGAGGGTTCCTTTTTCCCCGCATCCTCGCCAACACCTGTTGTTGGTGGTGTTGCTGATGATGGCTATTCTAACAGGGGTGAGGTGGAATCTTAGCATGGTTTTAATTTGCATTTCCTTTATTGCTAGAGATGGTAAGCATTTTTTCATGTGTTTTTTGGCCATTCCAATTTCTTCTTTTGAGAAAGTTCTGTTTAGTTCACTTGCCCATTTCTTTATTGGTTCATTAGTTTTGGGAGAATTTAGTTTTTTAAGTTCCCTATATATTCTGGTTATCAGTCCTTTGTCTGATGTGTAGCTGGCAAATATTTTCTCCCAGTCTGTGGGTGGTCTCTTCAGTTCAGAGACCATTTCTTTTGTTGAGCAGAAGTTTTTTAGTTTTATGAAGTCCCATTTATCTATGCTATCTCTTAGTTGTTGTGCTGCTGGGGTTCTATTGAGAAAGTTCTTGCCTATACCTATTAATTTCAGAGTATTTCCTACTCTTTCCTATACCAACTTTAGAGTTTAGGGTCTGATATTAAGATCCTTGATCCATTTTGAGTTAATATTGATATAGGGTGATATACATGGATCTAGTTTCAGTTTTTGCAGACTGCTAACCAGTTTTCCCAGCAGTTTTTGTTGAAGAGGCTGTCTTTTCTCCATCGTATATTTTTAGCGCCTTTGTCAAAGACAAGTTGTTATAGTTGTGTGGCTTCATATCTGGGTCCTCTATTCTGTTCCACTGGTCTTCATATCTGTTTTTGTGCCAGTACCATGCTGTTTTTATTGTTATTGCTTTGTAATATAGTTTGAAGTTGGGTATTGTGATACCTCCAGCGTTGTTCTTTTGACTGAGTATTGCCTTAGCTATTCGTGGCCTCTTGTGTTTCCATATAAATTTAACGG